GAGGGTAGCACACAATTTCAGAAAAGGTGAGTAGCACATAATGTTGATTGGCATTGAAAATTTTAAAACTTAGTGGAAAAACGGGGGAACGTTCCCCCCGTGTTCCCCTACTGGATCTGCCCCTGGTTGACCCAATCAAAAGGGAAAAAAAAGCGCTTCATAATCTGAAGAAAAGGGCACTAGAAATACAATATCAAATAACTAATAACAAAAAATCAAGTTTTAATTTTTCTTTCTTCTCCATTTCTTTTATAATTTCAGGGGGAGGGGGAGCGCAAGGGGAATCGCCACTATTGAGATGTAACTTCTTGTTCATTTACATCCATAGGCCTATTAAAAGATAACATGGATCAATCTGTAATCACTGGAGCTGATAATTTCAACAGATTTTGTAGCTCATTATTCAAAATCAACGGTAAGAAGGAAAATAAAATGCAGTACATACAGTACTATGGAATTTCGCAATAATTAGGAATGATTTTAGTGAAACAATAGGTTTTGTAGTTGACTTTTTGAAATTTGGGGGTCCAGCGGCAGAGGCCGAGAGGGGGATTGTGGGAAAAGCTCCTAAAATATTATAAGAAATATGAAAATACGTGGTGCTATCATCAACCGAACTGTCATTCGAAGGTTCAAGCTTCACATTTTACAATGTCTCTTGCCAAGAAGTAGTGAAACATGTCAAGTCGGTTTAACTGGATTAACCAAAAAGAAAAATTGAAGCTGCAAAATGTGTTTCATATTACAATTTATTGTTAGTTCATACAATTTTTTTTATAATATTATGTTCTTGAATTATATACACATTTTTGATAATTTGTACTGTAAAAAATATATGCATTATAAAAAATCCTTTATAGAAATATTGAAATCAGTATCATTTTTTCAATTTATTTATTCATTATGCCTCAAAAAAGCCAGAAGTCCCAAAAATTAAAAAAAAAAATATTCAGCAATGTTCCAAAGCTATCAATATACTAAGACAATGGCATTAAATGGTAAGTAAACAAACTGCAATTAATACATCCTCTGAGTAATAAATAGGTAAACTTATTATTAACAATCAATACACTATTTGTTGACAATGACATTAAATGGTTATTAAACAAACTGCAATTTATACATCCTCCAAGTTATAAATAGGTAAACTTATTATGAACACCAGAATACAAGCTACACTAGGATTGGCCCATAACATCAAATAAATCTTTTTCATTAGATGATATAGACCAAATACCAATAATACAACATTTTAATGCACCTTATCTAACTTTCCTAAACACCAAATTTAATACCATATTAATAATTCTCAACATATTACATAATTCACACATATTATACTAATTAATAATCCACCATAATATTGGTTCCTTTTAAAAGTAAAACAGAAATAAATGAAAGAAAGAAAAAATGTTCATGACAAATATTTCCAGTGACTATATTCTAAGTAGTATTTTGAAATACAAGTGACATACAGTACGTTCTAATTTATATATACTGTAGTCAACAAAACTCGTTTTCAATGTAAACATTACGGTGGAGGATATTTTTCCTTAAAATTGCATCATTACATCCTGAGATTCTTAAAATCTGTTCCAACATCAGTGGGGCTGAGGTAGGTGTGCACCCCCAGCCAGTGACTTTAGATCTCTCTTCAGGGACTTAGGACCCTCTGTTGGGCACCACCCCTGATATAAAATCACAAATGCCGCATCCTTCATCAACAATTTTTTTTTTCATTTTCACAATACAATATGATTTAAAATAATAATGTAAATAATCTATGAAACGAGGATTGATCCCAAGAAGATAAAAATCTTATGGTGGGCATGCCTTAAAGCAGAAGGGTTCACACAGAAGGGCCTACAAATACAGTATTCCAGCAAGAAAATTGGCATTTTCAACATTAAAATTAAGAAAGAGTAGCATCTGTTGCCTGTCAATTAGGAGAAGGTAGTATCTGACCCAACTCCTATTAATAATCTATAATTTTCCACATTAATTAGCACCTGTAATAAGCATAATTTTTATCATCTGATGATTTTGTTTAAATATTTTAATATATTTATAAATATTTATGATGGAGACCTCTACACCTACAGGTATATGTATAAATCTATTTAGTTGAATTCATTATTATAGTAAAATTTGAAAACAAAATATATAAAATGAATAAAAAATGTCTATGCATATACAAACAGTAACTTTTGAGTATACACATCATAGTTATACAGTATAAACTTTTCTAATTAAATTGTTCCACAACTTTGGTATGTATTATATCTGGTTACCTAACTGTGTATCAATAACTTGCAGTAATGTTTCTATGCTAAATATACTCCTATATAATATTAATATGCTATTGGTGGGAAATAAGATACTGTTGAATGAAATGGCAAGCAAAATACACCACAGTCTAAAATACAGTACAGTACTTCTATATTCTATTAATAAAAACAGTAAAATGAATTAAGTACATTTTAAAATGAATAGCATTTCGGGATCAAACATTATTATTGTGTCAAGCAAACATTGACACAAGACTGAAGCTATTGCAATAATTTAGGAGGTCATTACTCCAAGCCTTGATCCATTTTCAAAGGAAAATGTGGGAGAAGGGTCGAGGAAGGGAAGTCATGCCACTGACACAACAACCCCTCCATAATTTTTTGAAAATTAGACAAAAAATTGGGGAAAATGAAATTGAATTTCCTTGTATTTCTGGATTCTCCCCTAATTTTTATGAGAATCATGCAGTCATGAGCTAACATTCAAATACATAGGTAATAATATTAATTTGTCATAAACATTTACCTAGAAATTGAATTTGTTTAATCATTGGCAAGAAGCATGTTGTCAAGACAACAACATGGGCTACAGGCCCACAACAAATTGGCAATCTCTTGGTCAGACACATATTTAGAAGATACAAAATTAAAACGAGACAAAAACCAAAATTGTTATTTCAGTATTATGTTAAAGGTAGGTGGGTATTTAAATAATTAATCTTTGGTTTCCTAACCTTGAGGTCCGGGGTTTCAATCCCTTGCTGTGCATTTCACAAGAGCAAGACACTTTAGCTGCATTGCTTCTCTCCACCCAAGAGTATAAGTGGGTACCTGAGAAGGTTCTAGTGCAAAATGCACTGATATATTTTATGCAGCAAACTATGAAATTTCCCCGATCGTTCCTATGAATGGGGAAATAATAATATGGAAAATCACTGAGACTTAGTTGTGTAGAACGTTATATAAAAACATACATGTTGTTATTCCTTTCAATCTTAAACTGTAATATATAAACCATTAACATAAAAATAAATGGTTAACCTTAAACTAAGCTTATGTCTTTATAACAGCATAAGCCACTGCAACTGCTGCTGCAGCTGTTGCAGTGACTGTGAATGGGTTGAAATCAAAGAAGCTGGATTCCATTGCTGATTTGGAATCGCCAGCTCCTTTATCTTGCTTGGCATCTTCTGTTTGCAATCCCTTGTCTGTCTCTGGATCAGAAGATGGCTTCCCATCAGTTACCGTCTCATTCTTGACATTTTGAGGAGACGGACAGCCTTCAAGTGGTGATTTTTCATGAAATAATTCTCCTTCTTTCATTTCTTTTAAACTGACACTTGCAACTGAATCCTAGAATATTGAATATCAAATTTTACAAAATTTAAATGTTGTGTATACTTGAATTGATTGCAAATTTTCAAAAGAAATTGAGAAAGGGAAAACTGTTTTAGCACAATTATAATTGGATGTGAAAGCTAGACATTATCAAGAATTCGTAGATGCAATTAAGGCATTTGAAATCATGTTAAACAACAAGTGGTTACAATGTAACAGTTCAATACATATGTGACAGTACAGACACATAGGTTTTGCTTTAAGTGAAGAAAAAGAAGATTTTTGGTAATGGTAGGTTCTGTTTTCTTAATGTTGATTAGCATGTATTATCAGCCATTTCTGTCACTTACCTACACAATGTATTTCATTCATTTACTTTGTTTATCCATTGATGTCCATTTTAATGTATTTGTTCCTTTTTAACTTTTATAGAACATAGATTTTTTCATGTATTTTACCATAAACCAGCGGAGAAACTTTATACATTATTTCAGTTTGCTGTTTGTTTATCCCAACTGTGATCTTGGGTCTGTTACAATTGTTATTGTTCTGTTTCACAAAATAAACAAAATGAAATGCCAAAGGGCTACCTCTGCCAATATTAAACAATAGACATAAGAAAGCAGTACCTTAGGATGATGATTGAGATGATAATGATCATTTATTTTTTTTTAAATTTCTTTATTCTGAATACAAAAAAAAATATCAAAGGATAAAAACATAATAAATTCCGGAACAAAAATATTATCTCTTACCCATCCTCCATTTTCAATGATATAATCTGCAAAATTGTCTTCGATGTAATTCACTGTGTAAGAAGATATGCCAGACGAATGCTTCTTATCCTTCTTCAGTAAGTAACGAGAGATGCCAAACAGCATGGATATCTATAAGAAAAATGCATCAAAAAGAATTTTTCCACTGATGAAAAATACACATAAAATAAGGAAGTGGCTAAAAAGTAATTTATGAATACATTTTTAATATTTGAATAATTAAAATTATTCCTAATTGTCAATGCTTAGCAATCATATGCACTTTGTAAGCATTAGCACAGACCTACAACAATTCATCATACTGTAAGGCTTAAAGAGAGGTTTGAAGAGAGGCTGATGATGGGGTTGTGGTATCAGTGGCAGATGAAGGAAGTCAAATACAAGGCCAAGGGGGAGAATTTTACAAAGGGAGCAACCAGACTAATAAAGTCCCTCGGGTTGGGGCTGAGGTATGAAATTTTATGTCTATGATACCTCTAGATGGCTGGAAATGGCACTCCCAAACTTAAATTTGAAAGCAATTTTATTTTTCTCCCCATTCCAATACGAACCTTCTTTCAATATTTTAAAAGAAATAAAATTCAGAACAATACTCATGGTATTAATCATGAGTAAAATTACTGTACCTTGTACCACACAGGGTTGCCTGCCGGTATAATTTTCCCCATGAACGAACTGAATGATGAGTAACTACCATTTTGGTAGAAATTTTCTTCTATCATTTTGAATTCGTCTTCGAACTTAGCTGAAAACATTTCAGCCATCTTGTCCAGTTGTTTTGCAGCTGCTTCAAACTTAAGTTCATCTTTGGTGAGTTCAACTCTAGACATCGTCATAGCAGAGCCTACGATGAAAAAACAATATTAAATAAAACATTATCAAGACAACATATTTTAGTGAGGAAGGAGACAGACAGTGCTTAAATTTGATGGAAGATGGAAGGAGTTGTAGTGACGACCCCCTGGAGGTCACACTGCAATGACCCCAGATTCCCTGGGTTAGCTCATCTGCGCAAACCGGCATATCTGCGGACATGCGCACTGAACGGCCGACCCGGGTAATCCCCTGGAGAAAGGACGGCACTTCAAGTCCAGAGCTCGGTGTCATCACCATTGTGAAATTGCTACGCGGGAAATCAATACCGTCACTAGTAAGTACACTAGCGATTTCATAATAGAGTGGAATGCTACCAATTTAATACCAAAAAGTAAAACAATGTGGCCCAGTAACAGGGAAATGGGCTGCCATTAAAAGGTTGTGAGCCAAAGAACTAACTGTAGGCTCATCACAACGTTGATAGACAGTGTATGTCTTTTGACCTAGGAGTAATTTTTAAGTGGGTTGACTGCACTGAACTTTCAGGGAGAGAGTTCAAAGCATAAAATAATTACCATATTAAGTTAATGTTTCTGAATAACAAATGCCTTATATCATTATTGATATGTTACAGTAAGTGTTTAGAGGCCTTGTATTAAGGCATGAAGCGCTATATAAGAACGACATATTATTATTATTATTATATACACATTTCTGTGATTATCTAAAAGATTTGAAAATAAAATTCAAACAAATTTAATATTTTATATATTTAAGCTTTTAGTTTAAAATAAAAAATTTAATAAATTCCTATTTATTTATTATATTCGGCACAAACGAATAATTTAATGACCAAAGGAGTGCCAAGGTGATACCATGGGGTGAGCTGAGAGCCAAACAAGAAACATTTAAATGTTTTGGTAATCAATTGAGCGATATTCATAATATGCATACAAATTAAATACACAAGTACAGAAAATGAGTAAACAAATAAATAAATATAATTAAATGATAATTGTCATGTTTAAAGATAACCATGTAAAAGGACTTACAAGTTGCAGAATAAGAAACAATTCTAGATGGCATTGACACTGCTGGGGCATGATCAACTTCCAGATCAGAATCTACACTGCAAGATGACATGACATGCTCCAGAGATACCTGAGAGTCCACACTTTGTGAAGACAATTGTAAACGTGCAGTACTGTCCCTTTCACCTTCATCAAATTCACCTTCATAAAATTCCAATGGCACCAACCCTAGCATCTTTAGCACCAAATGCTGTGTTTCTTCATGGAACGCATCCTCATCTGAACCAATGGGAATAACATAGGAAGCCATCTTTGTATTTCTTATGGAAGAACACAGTGAAAGATGATTGTGCCTGATTACAATATGATCTGGTAGCTTTCTCACTCCACTTTAGTTACAACCTGTAAAGGAAGGATATGCTGTAGTTAGATTCACATGCCTTAACAACAGGATATGAGGTTTCTAATGATGACTAGCATTATTTGGGAAAGTCTATTATTACAGCAATTAGGATATTGGTAAAGGCATTATGTAACTCAGCTTAGCTTATATATAAGTATTCTACGCACAACTCAACGGTATAGGCTCAGTACAAGAGCACAGGGGTCAATTCAAATCAGCTAAACACGATATGCATACATTGTAGAATCCATTCCAGAATAAATTTACAAAGCTCATGATCTCATGCTTAAGCTCCAAAATCTCATGCATAAGTGTAATATTGCTTATAATAAAAAAATATATGTATAATTTGTAGCTCTCTCGCTAATATTCATCATCTACTCTACTTAAAGTGGGATTGGTAGTTGCTAAGTACAAACACTTCAACCAAGGGGGTGTGGCTTCTTATGGTGACGTCATGCATAATTTCATCTGTACACCTCTTAATTTCTAATCTCATAGACAAAGAGTGGGCGCTGGTAACCACATGGCATAGCAAAATACAGTATCGTACAATGATAAAATTGTCCGTGTAGGTATTATGTCCAAAATTAGGATCCCTGGAATATATCCAATTTATGGGGCCCTGCAGAGTGAAATTTTAAGTAACACTCTCATTCAATAAAATAGGATGGGCATGCCCCGGACCCTAGGGGCATGCCATTTTTTTTCACGGCCTACGTTTTAGGCTGTGAAAAAAAAATAGGCTACCCTGCTGCAGAGATTGTGTGGTTTGTCCTTATAGAGCGATACATGGCTAGGCCTAGATATATTTACATTTACTCAAAACTTCTTTTACATTTAGATTTACTCAAATCCTAGCAATTGTCTAATGCCTGTTTATTTTAAAATCCGATGTGACACTGATGATGATAATTTATATGTTTGATCTTGCCACACTTGTAGTACTGTATTGCTAAAATCAAAGAACTCTTACCCATCGTCACCTCTGATAACTCAATCTAACATAGGTTGTTGTTAAACTGTTTTACACTGTCCAATCAAATTTTTGTTTGATTGGACAGTGGATTTGCGCCCTATGTTAAATTTTAAATATACTGTTTTTTCGAGGGGCCTATAAGCATCGTTTTGCTTGGCCTCTATACCCAGGAGGATCAGACTGTAGAAGACTCTTTTGGGAAACAAGTAAGTAAGTGTAAGAAAATTTGTAGTCGGAGATCGCGGAAAATGCCACTGAAGGTAAAGCAAGAGAAAATGAATGGATTGTTTTTTCAAAAAAGGCCATAAAGGGTAAGTATTTTAATGAACATGTGATGGGGGAGGGGGGAACTACAATTGACAAGTGCATTAGGCCTATTATTATTATTTTTATCATTATTATTATTGTTATTATTATTATTGTTTTTTTCGCATTTTTTTAAACTTTATTACCTCATTTATGTTATCTTATTTTTTTTTTTTTCCGTATTTATTACTCTTTGTACATTTTCATGTTTATAATTGGTTTTATGAAGGACCACATTTGAAAAAAGTTTTACTTCTTAAAGAAAACTTTCACATGGCCTTTTTGGTTTACTGCCATTTTGACTTGCTGTTCTTGGTATAAAAGTGCTGACGTTTTTTGGTTTATTACCATTTTGGTCATTGTCATTTTGACTTATTAACGTTTTGGCTTATTGCTGGACTAGGCTTAGAAAGCAACAGAATAGAGCCTACATTAATTTACCAACAGAAACAGCCTAGTATAGGCTAGTAGTAGTAGGTAGGAGCTACAATTTCATTTAGGCCAAGGCCTACTAGGCCTAGTCTAGCTAGTCACACTTCATGAATCTTCCTCTGGATAGCCTGGATCTTCAGCACCACGGAAATGTGACGTGGTACACTGGTTTGTGGTAGTAGTAGTAGTAGGCCTAGGCCGGTAGAGGCCTGCCTAACCTAGCCTAGGCCATGTGTTATTTCCGCCTTCTCTATTCTAGCCTAGCCTAGTCTCCTCTATCTCTAGTGTAGCCCACTACCTAGCTAGGCTTGGCCTACTTTACTTATTTACCTTTCTATTATGGACAAATCACGCAACATATCGCACCTTTTTTCTCAATTCATGATCCTCATCGGGTAGGCCTAGGATAGGTCGTGGTGTGACGACTCACCGACCAATCTTTGCACCGACTGCTTGCATAGGCCGGGTGGGCTGATCGGCTAAAGTCCGTCTCGTCGCTCTCTCGCTCTGCCTCTCGGTTGTTAGCGGGTGTGACGAACTGTGACGCCAATGAGGGCAGTATAATAAGTGGTTAGTTCAAGGGTCAGTAAAACCATTTTTTTTGTAAACAATCATGACTATAAAAAGTTTTATTTAGTACATCTGTTTACTAAGTGCACACGTCATCATTGTCTGTATTCTTCACAATCTAATAGCAACGATGGCAATTTTATATATTTTTCTTCAACATTTCACACTTCTTCTCTTACTAGCTTTTCCCTCAGTTGTAAGTATTGAGAATGAAATTAGCATTGAGATTCTCTATCGCCCAGCAGACTGTGAATTTAGGAGCAAGAAAGGAGACCTTCTAGTTTTACATTACATTGGAATCAACCTGGAAGATGGAAAGCAATTTGATTCTTCGTAAGTTTCATTGTTTCATAAACTCTGTGTCGATTAAAAAGTAATTTGATTAATTGTGTTAAGGAGTTTTAATATCTCTATTTATTTTTAATTTATTATTTTTTTTGTTTACTTCATCAGGCGGGAGCTTAATTTTATACCTTCCTGATCTCATCTTCAATAACCGATAGAATGACACACACACACACAATGCTCTACATAAACTAACCCCATTATAATGAAAAAAATTGTGATACAATTTGACTTGAATTGAAACAGGAATTGAAATTAGGACCCTTAAAGGTGTACTGTCCCTTGCAAAAAAGACAACAAAAAAAAATCATAAAAATAATTTTTGAAATTTACTTGCCCATTTTGAAGTAACATAAAAATTATCAACTTGAGCATAGAAATTAGTGTATTTAAAAAATGCTTACCCATAAAAAACACCATTTTACAGCAAAAAATGGTAGAAACTGGAAGTGTTTTATTATCTTTATTATAATTAATATCAGTTAAAAACACATTTTTTAATCAAATAATTTCTATGCTCAAGTTAATAATTTGTATGTTACTCCAAAATGAGCAAGTTAATTTAAAAATTATTTTTTTATGATTTTGGTCATTTTCAAGGCACAGTACATCTTTAACCACTAAGCAGAGTATGAAAAAAAATCTATTCTCAAAAGAGAGTGCATTTTTAATTCTTTACAATTTGTGTTCTCTCTCATCTATAATGCACCTGCTGTAGTGTCAGCATTTCTCAGACATGTGGTGCATTGTTCCCCGACAAATGGGCCACACCCACCTCAGCTTCGACAACACAAAGTTTTTTGCATGCTCATGAACGAGAGGTTTTAAAGTGTTAAAATTTTACATAAAATAACTCTATAAAATATTTGCATAAATATTCAAACAGCACAATTTTCATAGCATTTTTTTCTAGACTCTAAGGAATATGTAATTGTACATGTACAAAATATACCAATTCCATAACTTTCTTGCAGTCTTGAAAGTGGTCATCCAAAACAAGTGCGTTTAGGCCAACATCTTGTAATGCTAGGCTGGGAAAAGGGGCTAGAGGACATGTGTATTGGAGAGAAGAGGGAGGTCACTATTCCTCCTGGTCCACTCCAGAAAGTGGACGAGAGTCAGTCAAACAGTGGTATGTGATAGCAATTTGTTGTTCCATGATTCTAAACACTTTTACTTTAAGCTGTCTCTCAAAGCATAATAAATAAATTTTTTTTTTGAACAGTATGAAAATTTCATTGCCTGAATATAATTATGCCACTGACATTATATTTCCAGCAGGGACAATGCTTCCATTCAAGGATATGACAGCAGTTTACCATTTTGAGCTTCTAGAAATTCGAGATGAAGCCCCAAGATTAAAGAAATTTCACCTAATGGACAGTAATGATGATGACCAAATCACAGTGAATGAAGTAATTTGCTTTTATGTTTTATTTTATATCATTTTTAGTTATTTTTTTTTTCCTCCACTAAGACAATCAGCCTCTTCTTGTTGTTCATCAAAACAATGCAAAAAATAGTGTATTTATTGAATACTAATAGATTCTCACCATAAAGCCCTGTCATGTGACCTACCTCAATATGGTCATTATGACATCACATTGTGTTATTTATTCATTTTCATTCTCGAAGTGTTCCATTACAGACAGGGTAGTATATACCCTCGATTTAGCGCTGAAGCACTTATTCGAGAGCTGCACTTAGCTAAAAAAAATCAGGTTTGGTGCGGTGCTTATTCGAGAGTGGGGCATATTCAAGAGCAGCACTTTTTCGAGCATTTATCGTGGCCATACAACAGTTTTTTTTTGTCAAGGAAAATTTGAAATTCTGGACAGAGCTGTGGTTGTCAGATTTTGTGATGTTGACTCAGTCAGCCTCATACTTATAATCATACTTATTTACTTTTTTCAAATTTCTTCTTCATAGATGGTAGAATACTATATCCAACAAGGATCTGATGAGTTGGGACCACACTTAAGTTTAAATGATGCTGTTAAGACAATATTTTCATATCTAGATGTCAACAAAGATTTCCTAATTTCCAGATTGGAGTACATAGGCAAAGCTCATGACGAGTTATAAATGATGTAATTACTGTTTCATTTAGATTGATTCTGATTATTTTTAGTAATTATTACAGCAATAATGAACATAGAATTTCATTGATTATGATGAGTTATAAATAATGTAATTATTGTTTCATTTAGATTGATTCTGATTATTTTTAGTAATTACAGTATTACAGCAATAATGAACATAGAATTTCATTGATTTTTTAAAACAAATTTCACATTTTTCAACTTCAAGGGTTTGTTTTGTAATCTAATTAAACTGTTGTTCTTCACATTCTAGATGTCAACAAAGATTTCTTAATTTCCAGATTAGAGTACATAGGCAAAGCTCATGATGAGTTATAAATGATGTAATTATTGTTTCATAGATGAATTCTGATTATTTTAGGAATTATTATAGCAATAATGAACATGAATTTCATTGATTTTTTAAAACAAATTTTACATTTCTCAACTTCAAGGGTTTGTTTTGTAATCTAATTAAACTGTTATTTTTCACATTCCAAAATTGATTATGAACACCTTAATAAGGTTGAAGTTGTAACCAGTGGTGGCACCAGAAATTTGCCGACAAGCGGTCCAACATGCCTGACAGAGTGGTCCAACATGTCTGACAGAGTGGTCTAAGCAAAGGGGCCGACGAAGCCTTGGTTGATGGCCCAGAATAACAACTCCCTTGTAAGGTTCACAGGGAGAGTTTTTAATGGATTAATATGGTCCAAAATGTGCCTTTAGAACACAATATTAGGGATGGTAGTCAAAATAAGCTTATTTAGATACACAAATTTTTTTTTTTTCATTTTTGATCCGACTACCTAGTTGTGCGTCGGAGTCAGGGGGGTCCAAGCCTGTCTGACTGGGAAAAAATGCGCACCCTGCCTCCCGCTGGTGTCACCACTAGTTGTAACAGTCCTCTGAAAACAGTGCAATAATGTCATTGTTAGTCATAAATGGATAGTATGCCTCATTCTGTGTGTTTTACAATAAATACAATACAATAATAATTAACTGTCAATTTTATATTATTGTCATTAGTATATCTACTAGGTATATTGGTTATATTGTTCATTGGATCGATCAATCAATCAATAAATCAATAAGGCACATTTATACACATTTGTTACATTCTCAACAACCTAATGAATCTAACACAAATAACAGTCTACATACATATTCAAATTCATTTATTTTATTTAAGTACAGTACTTACAAGCATAAGCACATTTTGGTTGAAGCAGGGTATGGATACATCAGTTATTTAAATATATCATCTAATAACAACATAAACATAAATATACTATTATAATGTTTTATAGAATCAGGGCCACAGATAGGGCTAGGGTGTCTCAGATAGGGGTAAGGTGAACTTGAAAATCCTTGAGCACAGAACTCTTGGGGAGAAACTGAACACCCTGTTAAAATGTTGTGCTGGGAAACCTAAGTGACAATTTTGGTAGATTTATATTTGGTGTGGTATGCAAGCTTTAGGTCTTCAGCCCTTCTAGTATAGTTTTCTTTTGTGTACAAACATCTGAGGTCCCAAATGTAGCTCCCCGATATGCCCTCCATGGCCTAGAATTTTACATTGCATCAGACATACTGCTCTAGTAATAGAACCTTCCAACAGAACAGGACGAAAAAACAAGCATTTATCTTTCATATTTCTATAAAACAGATGTTAATAAATATCCCACACTTTTACCAGTTCATCAAAATAAATTCTTTAGGAAACTCAAAAACCCCCATAATAAATAAATCATTCAAAAAACATCATTAAACAAAAACCCCATAAATAAATCACTCGAATAATATAAAATTTCTCTCATCATTTTTTTTTTTTGGTTCTATATGATTTGCCTAAAATTTCTACTTTGTATTGAAAATTTACTTAGAACAGTAGTTTTTTGTTTGATATTAATTACGCCTTCACAAAGTATAACTTCAGTATTCTCTATCAATCAAGGGATAATCTAAAGTGATAGAATAGCCAAGTAAGAGTTGTTTATTCTTGAAACATGAAATAAATGACCTCCTTAATCTACAACAGGTGATTCTTTTTTATGAAAAATATAGTCAGTATAATATAATGCTTAATAATAATAAATAATAACCTTGATTGAAATGGTTATTATATTATTATAAGTGATAGAATAGCCAAGTAAGAATTGTTTTTCTTGAAACATGCAATAAATTACCTTTTTAATCTTCAACAAGTAATGATTCTATTTTTTATGAAAAATATAGTCACTGAATTTTAGCTTAAATAATTAAACTCAATTTTCTAATATTTATTAGCCTTCTATTGATCATATTCTGTTAATTCTCATACAATCAATTTGACTTTCCATATTTACAATTAAATTCATGTTTATAGTTTTAATATAAACATTGTCCCCATCAGGATATGAACCTTCAATTACTATTCAGTTTCTTTAGCAACTGAGCTGTAAGCACATGCAGATGTATTCCCTTAATTTTTTTTTTCAAATCAATGAGACATATTTTTCAACGTACATATAGTACACAATTAAATGACAGATTAATTGTTATACAGTATTTAATATCATGTATTTTGTTTATTTCTAACATACCTATTTTGTTGACAAGTTTAGGTGTAGGACTTACAAAAATAATAAAATTAAATAATTATTATAATGTATAAAATCAATGGCGAAACAAACATACCAATTTGGGTACTTCTGTCTACCATAAATATTTTGACAAATTTAGGTGGATGATTTACAAAATTAAAATAATAGAAGTAAATTATCATAATGTATAAAATTGATTGGGGTACTTCTGTATAATTTTTTTTAATTAAAAAAAATTTTTCTAGCATCTTATACTAGAATTGATGTACGCAAAATATAACATTAATAACAATAACTTTAGATGGTTTTTAAAACCTCTTCCTTGTACCAACTAAAATCTACAATAAATTGTTTTTCCATTTATGTGTACTTATTAATGCAATTATTGATGACTATTGAATGCAAAATTGGAGTGGGCATAATAACTGCAAGTTTGTTTATGTGTTCATTATAGGATAAATGATATCAACATAAAAAATGCCAGGCATTTATCGTCTCAAATATTGCGAAGCGGTACTATAATGTTTTGTAATTTTGTATCTCTTGAAATAAAACAACAAAAACAATTCCCTCGATGAAGGCCTAGCATTTAGACAACCTTATCCAGCTACCCATCTAGCTGTAGGCTTAAGCTTTTCTGTCTTCAGGCTTCTGCCTTCACTGAAGGTGGGGTGGAGGATAAGGCTACACTTGGGTCACTGGTGTTGTTATCTTCAATGCATCTCCATAAACCATAGGTCTTGCCGACAGTATTCTGCCAAAGACGAAGGGTTCCATCCTCAGACCCACTGGCATACAGCTCGCCATCAGGGCTGTAACGCACACAATGCACAGGACCAAAGTGACCCTTGTAGCTTTCTATAACAAAGAAAAAATGCACATTCAGTATGCAGATACAGTTATCAAAACTAAATACAACTATTACATACTTTGACAAGACTCAATATTTTAACATAAGTTTAATATTTAGAGGGTAGTATTTAATGAAGGTGTATTTACCTAATTCGGCACCGGTATCGTAGTCCAGCTTGTAGAGCTTGAAGTCCTCTCCACCAGCCACTACACAGGTCTTGTCTGGATGCAGCGATGCAGAATAAACCTGAGCTGGAACTGTCAATTCCTTTATTTTTGTAAAGCTACATGTTTAAATGAAAACAAAAAGTAATTATAATAATAAGTTTGCACTTATATAGGATGTATTGTACATTTCCTCTTAATGTTTTATGGTAAATACAAAAAAGGAGTATAAAAAATGTCAACTTCTGGGAGAACCAATTTAATTAATGATTTTAAGTTTAATATAGTTTAACATAGTATGTAAATCTACACCTACAATTAATAATTTATGTTTAAAGGGGTGATAATAAGGTTTTCAACAAATCTAAAATCATAAATTAACATGTGTTTTTTTTTTAATAATGATTTAATAAAGCCTGACAATGAAAATTCTTACTTCTCTGTGTTGTAAAAACTGATGGTGTTCTTGTGAGTGACCACAAGGATAGAATCATCCTGAGACAGTTCCAGGCTGAGTGATGAACTTTCAAAATCTATCTTGTTGATCACACATTTATTGCTAACATCCCATACTCTAAAAATTGTAGAAAATTTCAAAAACAAGTTAGAAATACCTACAGTAATATCAACTGTATTACTGCATTTGTTACATCATTTTAAATTATTGTAGAAAATGTTATTATTATTAAATATAGTAAACAATAATACTAATTTATAAAATTTGATAAAGCTGAGTTATTATTTCTGTTTATTTATGTTACAATTTCTGTATAATTATTTTACAAATGACTTATAAATTATACGGAATACTCACTTAAATGTAGGTAAATGATGTGAAAATTAACTTACTATGTGCCCTTCTATGGCTTCTATAATAAACATGGACAATGACCACATACAATTAAGCATGATGATGCTGCCAGTTATGTGTTACCCTAACTTTTCCTTACCATAATAGAATTAGCGGATAAAATTACGGAGAAAGAAAATGGCAGGTTACCTTACAGTCTTGTCTTCTCCGGCAGTAATAATACGTTTATTGTCTGCACACCAGAGAGCATGACGAATACTGCCCTCATGCCCTGCCAATATTTCAGGATCTGACTCTGGTTGACTCAAGTCGAAGATTCTTAGTAGCTTTTCATTGCTACCAGTAAGTAATAACCTAGTATCCTGCGGGTGAGATTATGTATTTTAGAAACATTCAGAGTTAAGCTATCATCGTTTACTTTAATAAATAAAAGGAATATATCAGAATATTTTAAATCCTAAATATAGTCTGAGAAGTACCTGATATGTACACACTGCAACATTAAAAAATAGAAGATTTAAAAAAAATTTTAACACAAAATCTGGTTCATAATGCTTAATTTTCATTTGTCTTAATACATTTACATAAATTTTAACAATAGTTCAACAATTAGATCAAACATCAGACAGGGACATCCAAAAATTGAACTAAATCATTATCCAGTGAGGCCCATTAAAAGTAGACGTTTTATACTGTATAAATTAATCCTCTATATAAATATCAAACAATATATTGTTGTTCATTTGACATTAGTTAAAAGATGTCTAATTTTATAATCAATTTTATTTATTTAAAAAAAAAAAATTAAAAGTGAAGAATTTATTTTACCCTTGAAAAGTCAACTGCCTTGACAATATGCTTATGAGAAAAGTTATGCAGTTCTGAACCACCAACAGAATCCCAAACTTTCCTGAAAAGAAAATTAAATTTTTTTATCAATTACAAGAACAAGAATTATACTGATCATTAAACATTCCAAATCAAAGCACATCACTGAATGCTATAGTATGTCCAACAAAAAATGGTTGTCAAATATTAAACTAATTACTTTACACCGATTAGACAAATTAGAAGTTCTGTGTAAATAATATTGTTTGAAGGTTTGCATGGCAAAGAACAATAATAATAAATGCTTGCGGTACACCACATGTATATTCACATGGTTTACCGCAAGCATTTATTATTATTAAATTATCATGCTGACACTCCAAAATATTTATATATTTTTTTTTCCACTGCTGAATGCAGTTAAATGATTAGATTACTTTTTGTTAAGGTAGCTGGCTCAAGTACCAATGAAGTTACTGAATATTAAATAATTTAATACACTTTCACAGTTCAACATATTAAATTCAACATATTAAAATAACATTATTTTAATTTGTAAGGTATCATGTTGTGGAAATCAACATGGTATATAGTTGTACTTACGCAGAGAAGTCACCAGCACCAGTGGCAGCTCTTGTTGCCTCAGCGTTTAGGGTTGCACTCCAAACAGCTCCTTTGTGGCCTTCAAAGGTCCCAATCCAGTCGCCTGTGTCACCTTGACGCAACATTGGCTTGCCATCTACAGGGTATGTAATATGTTGTACCGTATAAACTTACTTATATGTACAGCAGTAGTCCTTGACACCCTTTCTTTAAACTGGGTAGGCAGTATGTCGATGGTCGTGGGCTAAAACAATTCCATGGAAACCCAACAAGCAGGCGTGTGCGATAGACAGTTTTTAATAACAATTCACTCAGACTACCATCGACAAGGCTCACACAGAGCAGAGATGAATTCACCGCACCGTCCGCCTATGCAGCGTGTGTACAGCTTTAGAGCTGGTATCAAGTACTTAATTCAATTTAAGATAGAGTTAAGTAAGCCTACTGATCATCACCTCATATAATATGTAGGGTCACATAACTCCCCACTCACTCACTATTATCACTTGTAAAGTTAGGTCAAATTAAAGCCCACTGATCATAAAGGGGAGAGAATGCCCATCGATTGAAAAATCTACAGACTGTCAAAAAAGCTTAAGTAGACAACACAGCAAGTAAACATGATAGTATGTCCATATGGTCCTTACTCTGGGATGTAGTTATAGTGGGCAAAGATGGGCGGGGCCACCCAGCCTTGAAGTTTTCCACCCAGTCTAAAGCTAATTCCATGGCCTTCCAGCCACCTTTATTAACCCACTTTTCCATCCTTAAAATGCACTCATATTATCTAGAGTTTACCAATGTTTGTAATAAAATGTGGGTAAATGATTTCAACATAAAACATCACCAGTCCTCAACCAAAAGCTGTGTAACGCGCGATATTATTTTGTAGTTTTACAGTTACAATGCAATGTGGGTAGACATGAGAGATTTGCTTAGCTTGGTGGTTTTTGTAGTGTGATCAAGAAGGTATGAGAGAGCCGCAGAGACTCATGCTGTACGTAAGATAGCAAGCTAATTCAGGTTAAGGTTTGGTCAAGCAAGCTCCACCAATCAGCGCCTACTGTAAGATTTGCGTAAAGAATTTAAATAATCAGAACAATTCTGTAGGCCTATAAATATTTTCCTTATTTATGACAATTGAAGCATGAACTCAATCGAAACGTCGAGACATTCTCAACAACACTATAGTTCTTTTCAGAACTATCTACGTGCTGTACCACAAGCATTTAATATATCACAAATACATAGAGTGCCATATTTTGATAGAATATTTGACAAACTTAGCCTATTTCTTATGTTTGCTTATTTATTTTTAATAAATCAAATTTACAGACAAAACATTTATGTGGGAATATAATTTATCTAAAAAATGTAGTCTAAATAAGCATAAAAAAATACTTTCCATGAAAGTATTACTTCATTTAGATGGTCAGCTCTATCTAGCTAGGCCTAGGCCAATATGCAAGTAACAAGTTACACCATGGAGAAAGAAAATAACCCACAACCAGTAATGGAAGGAAGCACGAACCGCAGCCAAGGAGGCGGCCTTCTTCCTCTTCTTTGGGTTGAACCGAACGTCTTGGGGTTGGGCCTAAAACTAATCGTAAAACTATCAATTACAAGATATGAATGAGTATCCGAAACGTTTACCTTTTGAGGCACTGATTAGAAAGTAACCATATGGAGTGATCTTACTGAATGCAAGATGGACAACAGGTCGTGTGTGACCACTGCAACTTAAAGGCACTTGCTTTATGGTCGCTGCCATCTTGATTCGCTGACCGGTGGTGGTGGTTGGTTTTCTGTTTTCGTCGGAAATGAGAGCGTACACCTGCCGCGCTAATCACATTATTTGAGCCCAATTATTTAGCCGCATTAAAACATACATGCAGCCTGGGTACTTGTAGTCACAGACTCACTGTAGTAATATTATTCCACAGATTTGCTAATACTGTATTGTTTTTACGGTAGTAGTACTAGTAGTAGCGTTTTGTTTTTTCGGGTACAACTCCCTGATAATGTTGCAGTATAAATTTCTCAGGAATGATAATCAAACGTTAAAATTTTGATGCATAACAATGACATTGCTATATAACTCCTTGGACACGTTCTCTGAAAAAAAAATTGTTATAGTACAGTTAGTAGGCTGATATGTATAATTAATGAGGCTATCATATAAATTATGGTACATGGTAGCTAATTCATTGTACCGGTACTTTCTTCATAACCTGTGATTGTGGGTGTTTTCATACTGTCAGTTTGTGTTCATAGATGATTTGGCAAATGAAGTCCATGATGAACATGAAGATTTGATTTTGAGCAACATAATTTCTACTTTATATTAAATAAATTTTGATTGCAATGTATGTATTAACACCAAAATCTGTTGTTCCTGCACATGTGCAAAATACATATACAGTTGAACTTGCCTAAGTTGAATCCAAAATGCCATTGAAATACTGTTCAACTTTAGATAAAATTTGACTTACAGATTAATTAATGGGAAAACACAACAATTTGGCATGTAAAATTAGATCGACTAAGAAATTATTCGACTTGGGCAAGTTTAACTGTATACCAGAATTTTTTTAATGTGGGTGCCCCAATTTCATATAGGACTAGATGTAGTATAATTTTACACATAAATAAGTACAGTATCCAATAATGGTATGATTCGTGTTTGATATAATTTTTACAAAAATTGTAACGTTTAGTATGCCATCTTGTATCTGTTTGTTAAAAAATAAAAGATGGCGGTGGCAAAACCGAGGAGGGAGAAGGTTTCCTATGTGCCCCTCTCTAAATTTTCCCAATATTTACATCGTGACCTGGGGTTTAGCAATGACCACATGTGTTGAGATTTCTCCCCATGTCATTCTTGTCAATATTTTGTAGCATGTCAAATGTATAATAAAATTATAGAGTACAGTATGTATTAATAAATAATATATACACTATAGACCATCATATCTATACAGTATGTAAATTCTACTTTATGAAATCAAACATAAAGAAAACAGACTTTATATCCATTAGCACTTACTTCCTTTATTTAGAAATCTCCATTTTACACTTTCACTCTGACTATCTTTCAGTCATCTTATTCTTGTCATGCTAAATACTGCATTCTAAACTTGGAACACATCTTATTTTATAACATTCAAACCATTCCAAACACCTCAAGCCCTTAATTAACAATTAATAATCAATTAAATACTTATGCATGCTTAAATATTCACAGGGAAAAATATTCTTTGCTGACTGAATTCGTCTGGAATAGGAACTCACATAACATTGCTTCAGTATAATCCCTCATATTTCACAGGAAAGAAATCTATCCTCATTTTTAAATCGCATCAGCGCAACATCACAACACCATATATTTAAGCATCTGGCTCAGCAACAGAATTTTTTTTTCATTATTTACAGGAAAAAAATATAACTTTTTCAAAATGTATTTGTAATCTACCACCCATCAACAACAAGAAGCAAACGACATTTGGTATCATGCAACTGACACACTGCACAGTTTCATGTTTTCACTGTAAAATCTAATAATTTTAACAATGAAAGCACTAGAATTGAGGAACCACAACAGTTACTATACTATAAAGATAGGTAAATAAATGTGGCTCACTTTCCACTATTATGTGAACACAGTGCAAGGAATATTATAAAATATATACAATATACTCCAGTCTAATGTCAGTCATAAGTAGGCAATGAATAAAAATGTGTTTCACAAACACCGCTGTATACCGCCACGCACAATAATACATTCCATCAACATCCAACTCAACATTGAAACCTTTCATAATGTTTTGATTGCAATAGCTACCTTTCACACCATTAATATACTTCTCTCATTACAACAATTTCTATACTGTATTTGGTAAAACATCAGCATTCATTTGCATCACAATTCTATGAACTTTTATCGCACATCAACCATACATAACAACACTGAGTAACTACTGGCACTTTTATAATTCTATCAGAAAGCGATATGAAACGATATTGATATTCAAGTATTACCTGCTGGTAATTACATACACAGTTACTATTTAAACCGTCCGTCTATTTACATTGATTCATGATAAATGGTCTTACCAAGGGTAGTGATGTAAAGCGCATAGAGGCATTTTATTGCAATGCACTATATAAATGTCGCATTATTATCATTATCTAATAAAATTGTAATAAAATAAGATTAAGCCAACAAAGGGATTAAAATTCTACTTTAAAGGTATTTGATGCAAGTCACATGCAGATTTTTTAATTGGCTAGCAGCTTAGATGACAGTGAAAAGTATCATATACACTGGAAGTATCACTGTGACTGCAGCACGATAGGGTACACATAGAATCTAAGTAAATATCACACCATAGCGCAGTGCACTAGAGTAAGGTATAATAGACTAGTAAAGCCACACATAATTACAATATATTTCAATTAAAATACTTAAGAAATACCGAAAAGGGTGACAAATATATGTATAGGCCTACATGCATATAATTCACTTGTAGGCAATATGACTGTATTTATACAGAGGGCTCATAATAAAACCTATATAAAAGGCTAGTAGAGAGTATATCAATGTAATATAAACAACTCTGTTATTATCTTAAAGACAAGATTTGATTTTTTGACATCCTAAAACAAATATAACAACTAATAATATAATAATATATATTTGTGAACACAATTTAGCAACCTAACATTTTAGGTATATTTTTAAATTCTTCCATTTTAACTTTAGAGCATTAGAAAACATATCATAAAACACGTAAACAAAATTCATAAAAGTTTACTGAAGTTTTTCTTAATCATCTTTCTTCATTATTATTACCATCACCACCACCACCATCATCATTATATTCATCATCATAATGGTGCCAAGCCCAATAAGAATCAGAAGAAATTCACAGAGTCAATGTTACTATTTTCATTAAATAAAAATTATCATGATAAAAAAAGTAAAAGTTGAGTGTTGTACACTTACAGTATTCTATCATTGTTAATCAACATCCTGAGATGTATATCCAGAATATACATGCATGGATATTACAAAATACCATCACTACCGACATTCACTTTTAACTCACATAACATAAACTGAATTGAAGGCATACCCCAGTGTATTACATCATGATCGAATCTGAACTTGGCATCAAATATGTATTGAAATTAAAGTATGCACTTACATTGTATATGGTAAGCATTGCAAATTTCTAAAGGGTATATTTCAACCTTTTGACAATAATTCATTCATAATTACTATCCTATGATCACAATACAATCACCACATCTGACCCAATGGCAGAGTACCACTAAACAGTAGATTTTGGAACTTTATCAGTCTTCACTATTGATAAGTTAAATTGCAGATTTGTTGAAAGAAATACATTAGTTAGTATATTTAAATTATGGTATATATTATGTGTGAAATTAAAATATACTTGAAGATTCATATCACCATGATCTAATATTTATTGGAACGATACAGTAATTTCAATGGTAATTATCTACTGATGTGCTGATTACTAGAAGATACAGTACACAATAAATACTTCTTAATGAGTTAATAATATTTAAAAATAATAAAGTATAAACATTTGTACTTTATAGGAGTTAACCATTTAATATTATATAGTAGTAATGATGTATTGAAGTAGGAAAATAAAGAAAATTAATCTAGCACTGTATTTTCTAGTGCCTGGTATTGGACCAATTGTTTTCTTCGTAAAGAAGTTCTTGCACTACCAAGTGGATATTATCGTTGAATTTTGTCAGCAAACGACTGTTCAGATCCCGATTGGCGAACCCCATTTCTATGAGTTGATTCATTGCGGACGTAAAGTGCACCTGATCACGGGGAAAACTACGAGCTGGCTCTTCGTACTGTAAAGAAATTCCAAGACATGTTATTAGATACTCCATTATATATTTCAAATGATACATAACCTATATGTGGAGCTTGATGATTGAGTGCCTGCTTTCAAACCTCAGGGTTCTAGGTTCGAATCCTGTAAATACCATGATTTGTTCTCTTAACTGAGACTAAATCTACTCTTAAGTCATCACTTAGTCGGACCCTCATGTCATACCTTTTGGACCCCACTATCATCAAATTCCTGAAGCCCTCACAAAAAATGAGTAATGATGATGTAGGGCTGTTATGTAGCAAATCTAAATAATGAAAATTAAACTTTCACAAACCTGTTGCCGAGATCCAAACAACGCTTGGACAGAGCTAGCAGCGCCATCATAGACCTGTTTGGCGATGGTACTCGCAATAGTGGCTGCATGCACGGTAGCAACACTGTAAAAGCAAATGATAGAAACTAGTAAAGCATCTAGAGAAGTAAAGAATTCATGTATTATGTTGCATTGGTATATAAAAAACTTAAGGTACAGGTAAGTTAATAATTTATATATTAAATATATTTAGAACCAATAGATTGAAAATGTGATTGCACTGATCCATGGTAAAGAGGAAATAACACACTCCACTGATTAGCATGAAATAAATTGTACCTTACACAATAAAAATAAGATTTTGACATGTTAATCTTTGACCATATTCAATCACATAATGTAATCTTTAACCATATTCAATCGCTTAATGTTAATCTTTAACCACATTCAATCACTTAATGTTAATCTTTAACCACATTCAATTACTTAATGTTAATCTTTAGCACCATTCAATCACTTAATGTTCTTCTGATTTGCAAGTTCAATGCCAGGTGCATGTTGCATTGGCCATCCTTTGGTCAACAAATCATGTGGTTTTTCCTATGTCTATTTAGCACTTTTCCTTTCAGTTACAGAGCGATAGTTTACCCCTATTCATTGGGTCAACATGCTGAAGTGTAAGCGCTTGCCTGAAGCAACGTCGTCCTGCCGACTGACAGTGGCACTCTGAACATCATTAAAAATTATTCTTCATGTGATTCATTGTCATGCTGTGGTCTCATAAAATTAGACTGTAACATGTACACCAAGCTTGAAGATGTAACAGCCATAAGGTTCTCACAGCTGTTTCCATGTTTCATATAGGATCTAATACAAATACAAACTAACGTACAGAAGCTTAATCTACGGCAACATATACAACAAAATATAAACGCACCCTAACAAGTCCATAGGGTCATTCTCATCATAAACATCTCTTCTAGCTTCTCCAACTGCTGATCTGCCCTCCTGTTGCAACTGGTCCTCATTATCTTCATCGTCATCTGTTGCCTCACTGTCTTCATCACTTGCAGACTGCATGTTGTCAGTGGTTTCGGGAGCATCGTGAAAGGTTTCCTCTCCATCTTGCAAAATGTCAGGAATTACCCCTCCAACGTGCTGCACTACTTCTGGAATCTGAAAAAAACCCCATTTTCTTGTGAATTCAAGCCCTTCGTATTCTTATGTACTAGATATAAATATAGCATACATTACATCACAGTCACAGTAACAAATATATAACAAGATGATCAGGAACTCTGGAAAATAACAGTATGATTCCTGCAAAATTCATTTCCTGTAACATTCATTCCTAAACACACAAATTTTCCTCTTAGAATATAATTTTATTTGAAATACTGACGACTTACAATTGTTGCCTCAACAACATCTTCTTGAATATCTACATCTTCATGTTGATGGGCAGGGATATCTGCTCCACCTCTTGCGATTGGTTGTATTGTGCTAGGCTCAACCAATGGTGTAGCCGTAGTGATGATTGGGATTAGGGGCACTGTCTGGATATCCTGGGATGTGCACAAAATCTGGTCAACATCTTTCACAGTGACCTCATGATCCACAGGTTGCTCTGTGACCTCGCTGTTATCATTAGTACACACAGATACACTTTGGGATCTAACCATTGGTGACCCAGCCTAAGAGGGAACAAAATAAACATATATTAACAAAATTATAATTTGTAAAGTACATCTCGCATCCAGATGTAAACATTTAACAATATATTGCAACATTGGTACCTACTAGGCTTTAAATGGGGTTAAATGAAACGATGAATTTTAAGTGAAATTTTAGAAGCCTATTCCTAAGAAACAAAGCAGAGTGATAATCTTTATGTACAGGAAATAAAACAAACGGTTTCTAACCTGTGAGGCTGTGGAATTCCTCCTGATTACAATAGATGATGTGATGGGAATGTCAGTGTTGAAGCAATCTGGTAGAGGAACTACAATGAAATCCTCCAGAAGATCATCTGAACACGTGCTACAAGCATCACAATCATCTGAAATAGAACGTAACATTGTGAACATCATAATGTCGATTTTATCAATTACAAAATAAAGCATATAAATCATTATGAAAATCCAATCTTGTGAAGTAGTCTTTCATGTTGGTACTCCAACACTTGCAGATGCCTGTGAAGGTACATTAACACCGAATCCTAATTCCCTGTTTTGAAAGCTAACTGAACTGATCAGAAAATCAGATCCATGCATAAGAATAGGGAAGCTGGTGTTGAGCATATCGGAAAGCGGTCCAAATTTCGATTCAGATCCGATGTGCATGCAGTCTGCTACCTTGGCCATATTTAAGAAGTGTACTAAAACTCATCTTTTTGCCTCCATAAAGTTTATATTCTATTACTTTATACTTGACTTGTCTTTTAGTCTGTATTGTTGGATGTTCCTCTGCAAATCTGGATATTATTTCTAAAAACATAAAACAGCTCCATTCTCTAAGCCCCAAAAGCATAATGAATCTTTCCCAAATTGTCAATCAAAGTTAACAACTGACCAATCAGAAGAGGACCAGGAATATGCACAAGCCCTACAAACACAAATGTTCTCACACAAATGCACAAGTTTACACACTGTAATGGAGTATTGTATTCCATATCTGGATTATGAGCCATTTTAAGCTACTATTGACAGAATTTGAAGTTAAAGTATATTTGTGTTGGCTGAATTAAATTGAAGACGTATCTTTCTACTGGTGTTGGTGAAAAGAGTGTGTGCTAATTGTGTTATATATCAATTAGTAACAAAGTAATAAGAAAACTATTGTATTAACAATACAAGAAGACGAGAAGTATTGATGACAGAAGACCGTAATATTAATATTATTACACTAGTTACATAATATTATATTACATTACATTATATGGTGGCAACTATGTTAAACACACATTTACGCTATTGTTTACTGGACTTTAGCAACAATATTCAAAGGGAGGTACTAAGCAGAAAGATCTATTTTTTTATTTTAAAAAAATCTGTTCATTTTAAAAGTTACCGCCACCGTAAAAAATTGTGGCGTTATAACTCACCTTTAACACCAGCATCCTGTTCCACAGCTCCTTCATTTTCTTTTGTCTTAATTTTTGTTTCAACAAAACCTTCATCAACTGGTGAGAAAAAAAAAACTTCATATATAATTTAACATTTTAATATCAATGCAAATTGTAACTTTGTGGTTAGTGAACTTGGTTTTTTAAGCCACTAGCCTATAGTTGAAATTCATGCTAGCTAATCAAATTCCAGTGCACTACAATATAACAACTCCAATCCCTCAGAGTCAAACTTAACAACTAGCCAATTAAGAACAAGTTATATAAAAGGCAGGCCAGGAATATTCGTATTATCAGCCAAGATTCTCTACAAATGACTGTAAGTTAGCGGGACAGTTCATTGGTGAGTGTAATTTCTGTAGGATACAAAAAGAATAAATAATGGAACACTTACCGTGACTGACCTCTTCACCTAGTTCTTTATTTGTTTCTATTTCTTTCTTTACAACTTTTCCCTCATCAGATGATGTCCTTGACTCACTGTCAATATCTACATCGCAGTTATCTGGTAGTGTAAACACTTGGTCGTACATGTGAGGAACAGGAGATATGCATGGGGTCAAACCTGAAGTATATAAACATTTTTTTGAAATATATTGAATTAGCTTCACCTTTATACAAGTACATGTTATTTTCCCCTACAATGTACAATTTTCATATCTAATGGATAATTACTAAAATATATGTACTTTTTTAGTGACCATTAAGCCATAAGTACTGTTTCACACATTATGGTGCAGGATTACCAAAATCTATATCGAGCTTACCGATTGGTGTGTTGTTTGGTGTAGCTGTGCTGGCTGGCCTATCAGCAGTGTCCTTTCTGTCACTAATTTTCAACATCTCAAATGAGAGTATGTCTTGTGCCGTGAGAACTTCAGATGATATTACTTGAGTTGTCTCTTGAGGGCTAATCTGTAGCTGAGCGACAGCCGATGCCGCAAGGTCACTGTCACAATCCCTACTTGATTCGTTGATTATCTATAAAAGGTAGTGAATTTAATCAAATTACATTCAATTGTGGCTCACTATTAACCATATGTCACATTGAATAGTTTCACATGAATAAATATCAACACTATAGTTTATGACCATAGTCATAAATAACATTTCTTGAAAAAATTGCTCATGTGGTAGAAATCAATATGGCAGAAACAAATGCTAAAAACCAAAAAAAGAAAAGGAGTAAGGGATTGTACATTAAAATGTGATGGATGAACAGCTGTACTGTACACATATTGAAATTGTGCCCAGACCATTATATTTAGCAAGGGAGTTCAGCCTGATATTAATAGCTGTAATTTATATCACACACAGGTAATTCCTGAAACTGTACATCACATATTATCAAGATGAATTGAGTAGATAGTTCCTGGTTAAATAGATAGAAAACTTATTTCCTGGTTAAATGAAGCTGATTATGGGTGACTTTAATCACTGTTCATTAGAAAAAAGACTGTTCATAGGACTGGACAAAGTAAAGGGAAAGCAATCTTTAAAAACATCTAATTTAGTAGTAAGCAGAAAATCAGAAAATAGCAAAACCATAAACTAATAGCAGAGCAGCATTTCAAATTGTGCAAACAACAACAGCTTACAAAAGTAACTATAACAAAATATTAAATTGATGTCAGGTGTATAATTAGATTTTGTAAATGATTTAAATACAATTTACTGTCAGTTTGATGTGTTGAATTTTCGATGAAAAAAATAGTTCTTAATAATAGTTAGTGAACTTGATGACTGGAAGACGTTCTTGAGTGTAATGTAGATGAGGCCCGTAACCGGGTTCATAAGAACAGAGGGGGGGGGGGGGATTTTCCTATAGACCAAGTTTAACTCAGAAGTGTAACTTTAACGGAACAAGGTTATATAATACCACTACAGTAGTAAACTGTTCATTAAGGGGTTCAGCAAAACACCCTGGTTACGGATGTCATAAGCAAAAGACTGCTCAAAACATACAGCTGCCAATAAGCTCTTGTATTCACCAATGACAAATCCAGAAGGGGTGATGAAGATGCTGTACTCTTAAACAGCGTCAACTCAATTTTACGTATCAGAAAATGCAAGATGGCAGTAATCAAGCTTAGTTAAGAAGCCAATGCCTTAATGTCACTTGGTGTATATATGGTAAAAGTGAAGAATAGGTAAAAACACAAACACTTTGGAAACAATTACAGATAACGGACAAAACTGGAAATTTGCAATCACCATCAACTGACACAAAGCTACCAAACTGCATTCTTCAATATTTTAAAGTGTTTTAAAATAAAACTTAGTATATTTCTACAACAATATAAAAATATATCAAAAAGTAAATCACAAGGAAAGCTGCTCAGCGCTCCATAGAAGATAATAGAAAAATTGTAGGAAAAGCTCACAGAGATCGAATTAAAAATAATGAATGACGAAACACATTCTAAACATAACAATTATACCTTTTGTTGTTCAGGTTTTAGGCTGTGTGTATTTCGCCACTTCAGACATAGGAAATCTTTTATCCTGGTTTCAACCTTCTATTTTAACAAACATGCAGTTTGCAAATTAATTTGAAAACATCCTCATGTGGCCATTTTAAATTTATTATATTCATCAAATTATATTATTTATGTATCTTTTTATTCACTTTTACAAATTTGTAATACCATTATTAATGTCAATGATTTCACAAGACATACCAGACTATCGCGTACATCTTTTTTCACGATGACTGGTTCAACCACTTCAAGAATCTCACGCTGGTCCACCACAATTCTGCACCACACTCGATGCCCAAACTGTTGGTTGCGGCCACGATGCGTCAAACGCCAATGACTTTCATAGTCACCAGGCGAAATTGGAGCAACAAACTCAACACTGATACATCCTTCTTCATTGGCTTTTAACAGAGGAACGTTGACAAGAGGGAGTGATATTAAAGGAATGTTACCCCACTGATATTGCAGCTGTTACGAAAAAAATTTAAGAGAAAACAATTATCTCTAAGCTATGTATATTTTCTGATTCAAAAATCTGTTAACCATGCTGATAATTAGATTATTTTTCCTTTGTTTACTAACACTAACTACTACCAAGGAGCTGTGGTTTGGTAACTGTAGTGCTCATCTTAAAACTCCATGGTTCTAGGTTCAAATCCTTGGTTCAAACTACCAAAAACCAATAGAGTACAGGCAAGATTGTCATTAAGCATTGAAAATTCCACTGTTACAGTTTCAATGGAAAAAGGGAACTGCACAAGGAGAGTACTCCCAAATTCCACCACCCCCCCCCCCCGCACTCCTTTCCGGCAGCAGCAGCAGCAGCCAAAACAAACCACTAACTAAGGGTGAAAAAATCCTAAACAATTCACATTGTTATTCACTTACCTGTGTATGTTCATCCCAGTCGATGTCACCTGTGTTCTTCATGATCCAGTTTTTGATAAATTTAGTGCCTGGTTGAAGGTGACTCTCATCTGGTATGTTTGCATCGGCAACAAATTTAGCATCCAATGTACTATCGAATCAAACATTGCAACGTTATAGAAAGCAATTATATCGTGCAGTAACTCATAATACAATTTATCATGAAGTTCTAAGCTCATAGCAACATGTTTAGCTCAAATGCTACAAGCTACATAGTAAAAAGCAATGATAAAGTACAAGATAAGACAATGTTTATTGACTAAATCTAGAATTAAGTACATAAACAATATTATACTTCATTAACAAACAAATAGATATATTATATTTATATACTGAGAACAAAATGACTGAATTTGTACATTCATAAACTTACAAAATGGGAGATTTGCTATCATTATCGGTTTCAGATGTTGCCTTTTCAACTATTATTTGTGCCTTCTTCTCCGAGAATTGCTCAATTTTCTCACGCTTTGTGGGTGACAGCCCAACACAAATTTCAGCTTGTCTTTTCATCTTCTTAATCTTCATTTTTCGTTTGAATTCTGCTTTTGCTGCTTTGTGTGCGGCCTTTTGCTCCATTCTCCTCAACCTTTCATTAAAATAATAAAAGCAATAAAGTAAATGAGATCAGGATGACGTTTACAAAATAAAGAATAATGGGGCATGTTTTCGAGGTTCTTGTACTACCTACAAATCAGATGTAAATATCTAAAATGAGTGATAAATCATGTGCTTGTTATCATAACTTTAGGTTTATGACTTTTGTAAAAGATAAAAGGAAAAGGTCCATTCCAAATTTTTTTCCTTAATGTTCTCTCTTGATGGTCCTGGTTAGACAAACTGTACTCTACATTTTACATTAAGACAATTAGAGTTACCTCTCTTCATGTGATTCTCCATAGATAGGGTGTTTTATCAAAGGCACTTGCTTCCCATCATATCTCATTCCGGCTCTTACCACGGGTCGCCTAAGCTTCAAGAACACATGGGTCGGGTCATGTATGTCTTCCATTGCTTCACAGGTCTCACACAGGTCATAGTCCTCACAATTCCTTTAAAGATAAAATATCATTCAAAATTACATTTACAGTATAACAATAAAGTTCAAAGTATATTATACAACTGTATGATACTGTTCATTAAGAGAGAATATTCATCACGAGTGTATAATGAAATTTACTATACTCACCCGCATTTGTATCGAATTCCAGTGATTTGGTTCTCGCATCCATCGCAGATTATTCCACTATGGTGATAAACAACTGAAATGAAAAAAGTCAAACCTTGCCTTCGTATCTATTCAAATAATTTATCAAATAAAATAATAAATACATGTGCATATGAATTAAAATAATATAAATATAATAATATCATGTACCAATCCGATGTGAAATAAAAATAATAAATATATAATTACTTATTTGTGCAAATGTTTATTTTATTATTTAATTCAATATAGGAATGAATAAAATTCAAAGATTAAAACATATAAAAACAAACAAAAGCGAGTGACAGATGCTAGGGACTGGCAAAAGTGAATTAAATCAGTCTTAAAAGAATGTCATGCAACACCTGTACATGGTACTATGTACACTTACCTTGGTTATGACTTGGAGAGTTGCTGAGGGGACTTGTGCCTGGGATTGTGTCAATAACAGCACCTTGTAGCCCATTCAGAACACCTTTCACAACCTCTGATGTAATCTATCCCATGAAATGAAAAATAAGAATATATAAAATAGCTGCAATTATATCCTTTACACAAATAAATTTAACCTTTATGTATTAAGTATGTTTTCATATGAAATGTTAATCTGTCTACTATTTTTAGATGAAAGCCAAATATCAAAATATTATGTATTGTTAAATCATTATTATGAATCAACTTATCATATCAGTCAATAAATTGTTACAAATTCCATAGCATCAAAGGTCCAAAGGCCTTTATTGTACATTATTGTTTAATAATAATAATAATAATTTTGGCTTATATAGCGCATTATGCTAAAGCCTCAATGCGCTTAACAGTAAAAATAAAATTCGGGGAAAAAAAAAAAAAATTAAGAAAAAAAAAAAAAATAAAAAAAATACAAGTTAAAAAGGTGAGTTTTTAAAGCTGCCTTAAAATCGTCAATGGAAGTTGCCTGTCGGATTGTAATAGGCAGAGCAGTCCAAAAAAAAAACAGAAGCCCAAGAGAAAGAACGACTACCATAATGCTTTGTCGACGGGTGAGTGGAATGAGCAAGTAGAGACTCTGAACTAGATCTCAGAGACCTCTTAGGAATGTAAGGATGAATGAGTTATGAAATAAACATTGGCGAGGAATTATGAAGTGCTTTGAAAACAAATAATAAAATCTTGTAAGTAATTCTCTATGTTACAGGAAGCCAATGAAGGTGCCTTAACACAGGAGTGATATGATCCCTAATTGGGCTTAAAGTGACCAAACGGGCAGCTGCATTCTGAACTCGCTGAAGTTTTGAAATATCCTTAGCTGGCAATCTAGATGTGTATAAGAGACAGACCGAAATCCTACCACAGCCTTAACAAAAACAATTTTTGCTCTGAATCTCATGTTAATTACCTGAATTGCTTTTATGTCGGATTAGGAGTTAGGAAATGGGGGTGAGTGGGGAGGTTAGACATACTAAGGGAAGAGTCCATAACAACTCCAAGATTTCTACAGGACAGCGAAGGCTCAATGAATGCATCTCCTATTTTGATAGAAGGAGTCCAGCGAGCAGGCTTAAAACATGATGAAAAATGTAATGTTTAATGTACAGTATTCAGTAAATCAATTTTTTAATGTAACAACACAATTGTTTACCTTGCGCAAATCAAGTTATTGTCTATTCCATCATGACAATAACAATTACTATCTCATTTATTTATTTATTATATATTTGATTATATAGTTAATTTTATTTCACATTTTATTACTTCAAACCATAAAGTGCATTACAAAATGATTCAATGCAAAATACTTGACTAATGTATCAATCACTTCCTTGCACTGAATTATGGGAAGGAATTCATTTGATCATTTAATCATGTGACGATGAGTCAGCATATTAAGTTTATTTTCCAATGAAGTGCTCTGTATTAGAGAGGCAGTCAAACATACTTAAACAATTTGAGTATTCCTGCATTAATAATAAAAACAACAAAATGCACCCTAATGCTCATTGAAAATGTAAATGCCCTAAGGTATCTGTCTTTGATTGGGTATGATGCAAATCATTTACATCCTTGTTTTATAATTACTGTTACAAAATGTATCATGAGAGTGTTTAAAGCTGCCACCCAAGGGACATTTATTATTCACAGATATTTACCTAATTTGAATATATGAATTATTCATTACTCAGTATCTAATATGCATATTGGATTAAATTTGAAAAGAATATCTTTCAGCTGAGCAATGTGAAAGAGGTTTAAATGTTAATGTAAAATTAAGCTTTTATTTCACTGTCATTTTTTTGTGAAATTTTACAAAGCATGTAATTTTCTTTCTTAAATGCTTAATTCAAAATTATAAGCTAATACTCTGCTAATTTGGGAGAATTTAGCTGAAGTAATAGTTTGTCAACAACAATGATATTAGGCCTGGAAAAAATGGTTTGTGCCTCCAACCATGATGATTATCTTTCTCCAGGACCAAATGTTATCTTTACACTATTATAGCAAAACAGTAGCACATTTAGTGGTTTGGAGCAAGCAAAAATATTATATTTCTGCATTAATTTGTGATGTGCAAAAAAAATGCCTCCGGGTTAAAGGTCAATGCCTCCGATCGCATGGCACTTTCCCCCCCCCCCCCTGCATTATATAATCATATGCTAAAATCAAGATATTAAAGAGCAAAGAGAGAGATTCTTGCATCTCTGGTTGTCTACTTTTTAATGCCAAAAAAATTGCATAATTAACAAGAATAATTAAACAAAAATCTACTAGATTGTTTTGATTAAACTTTTAGAAATAGGTTCTTTAATCAAATAGGATTCTTTACTATTGCCACAAGTTTTATTATGATTGCTTTTTAATTATATAAAAATAATCCTAAAGCTTACCATACCTTTGATTTTTCATTGCTAAACCACAGAGGAACTGTCTCATCATTTCCTTGGTTTGATCCTGTCTGCTTGTCTTTCCTGGGCTTAGGAACAGGCAAAGCAACACCCTTCCTAACATGCTCTGACTCTTTGCTTGGGGAATCGTCCATTGAAGCAGCAGGATTAGTGTTGGGATAGAACTTCACAACAGTTGGTTTTGGCAATTCCCATTCAGATGATTCCATGGGCTTGCCGCTCTTGCTCCCAATAATGAGCTTCCCATTTGTTGCAGCTGGCTTGCTTTGGACATCCTGAGAACCAGGTGGGGCTGGGTTGGACCAGTACTTTCCAATATCCGCTGCCAACCTGGAATAGTAGTCAGCCGTTCCTTTGGGTTTGGAGGTGCGGTTTTTTGGTGCCGGGCAAGATCGTGATTGAAATTCTGTACCTGCCTTATCTCCACGAGGGTTTATTGGATCCGATTCAACCGGCTAAAATTTAAAAAAAAATATTAACAGAGTATGTCCCTTTAATACCAAATTATGACTCCAAATTTTGAAAAAAACTTAAATGATTCTGAGACAAGGCACTTGCAAAAAATATTAAAGTTTCCAGTTTGTCTTCACTTCAAAGTTACAATTTCATACTACAACAATCAAACAGAATTTATAAACGGTATTTTTACAGCTTACTCAAGTAGTTGATTAGGTTGAGCCCACTATTTAGTGAGGATTTCTGGTCCATACCATTAAATCTAGCAAATTATTATAATTTTTGTCTATTAAATTTGTTATAGAATAGCATGTAGCTATAACTCCATGGTCCATGGACCCCATTGAAAATGAGCATGACTATCGTCGGCTTAATGGGTAATCCTGGTGCTCTTTTGTCTTTGTTTCTCTTGTATAATTGTTATGTCGAGTACCTAATAAATCAAATCAAATCAAAATCCTTGGCATAAATAAACTTTAGTACACACAAAGTACCAAAAGGTCTTACCTCCTTTGTGGTAGGTACTGACATCGCAACGTCTGAAGAACAATCATCAACATCAAAGATTTCCATCATAGGCTTTGCATTCCATTTACTTTGTTTGGTATCGGAGCTATCTTGTCTCAATACGATCAAGCGGATAACATCTCCACAGCGGCGCGAGATTCGAAGTGATTCTTGAAATTCCTCTGCAATACAAGTCAGTTATTATAATTTAGGCCTCATTTGGAAACTATTAGAAATAGCCTAGGAAAATTCTATAATCTAATGTGTATATTTCATTCATAAATTGACAAATAATTCTGAATAAAATCTGTATAACTAAAATATTTACCTAATTATATTTTTTACATTTATAAACTTATAATCAGCGTATTTGGGCACCATCACAACACATTTCTATCTTCCATAATTAAATTAGTATGGAAGATACTAAATCTATCAAATGTATGATCAGACTGTCCTATTTATGGTAACCATGACCTTTGTTCATTATTATAGCACCATTATTGTATCATGTATTATAAATAACACTTCCTGGTTTAAGCCTTGATGAAGAAAACAAAGATGTTATTGCAGGCTGGCACTTGGTGAACAGAGGTTAATATTAGAACTTCAGTTCTCAAGGTCTATTTCATACTAACTAAATATATATAATGCTACTGGTACTCATTAGTGTTTTTAATAATAATAATAATAATAATTGGGTAGTTGTATTGTAAGGCCCACGTAGTATTAGTACTACAACAATAAAGATACTATCAACACTTAACACTGTAATCACAGGCATACCACTGACAAACTAATGATCCCAATTTCTAATAAAATTGACAGTGAATGTGTTCTTATAAAGTGTAACCTTCCTTTCAACCAATCAAAGGAAAGTCCATGATGTTCACATTTTCACTGATGAATTGAAAAAAGGGGGAAGTTCAAGGAATAATTATAATAATAATAACAATAATAATAATAATAATACTATGTTATATTTATATAGCGCATATTGCACATTGCCCCCATGCAGGTTAAACGGCCCTGTGAACAACACCACACTTACTAATTTTTGCCAGGATTAACCCATGGCCCTGGGGTTAAATGCAAGCGTTTTTGTTTTTTTTTAATCAATTTTAATAAATAAAGTGTTTTCTTACCTTCACAACTAATAGTAATCTGAAAAAAGGGAAAAATTAATTCATTATTTCTTTTTTTTTCAAATTATTGTTTATGTTAAATTCTGTGATGTAAAATTCTTTAAAAACTCTTTAAAAAAAACCTACAAATCCCCACCTCCCCCCACCCCCAAAAAAAATCTATTTAAATACACAATAATATGAACCATACATTAATCTATATGATACTCAATTATTATTTCAACATAACATAATTTTATTTTTAATAAATCCTTACCTCGTCTTCTTCATTGTCAACATACTTCACTTTGATGTCTTCCAGATCATGACAGCATTTTAACTGCAATAAATAAATGTACAAATGATAACTACTGAATTTTGATTTATTGTATATTTTTTTTAAATATTTAATATTGAGGAGTACAGTTATGGTGCTGAAGTCTAGAGGATCAGTTTTGGCCACAGACCAAATCTTTTTGACAGGTGTTCCAACCAATTAGTTGTGAGTCTGTGAATGAAGATGGCCATTTTGTGTCCTCGGGAAAGGCACTTGCCTATGTTTGTCAGAATATGATTGATTCTGTATCCACTGACTGGGGACATACTTAAACTGATATAATGCTCTGCTCTATAAGTATTAATAAATTAAATAATTTTTAAAAACATGTCACTTGTTATTAATTATTGATTACCAACAACAACAAAATGTGTTTTTGTTTTAATGATAATGAATACAATGTTAAATGAAGACCTAGTATAAAAACTACCAGATATAATGCTCTAAAAGAAAATTAATAAATTTAATATTTTTTAAAAACATGTCACTTGCTATTTATCATTGATTACCATCAACAACAAAAATGTGTTTTTTTTTAATTTAATGACAATGAATACAAAGTTAAAAGAAGACCTAGTATAAAAACTACTAAAGATATAATGCTCTATAAAAAATTAATAAATTTTAATATTTATTAAAAATATGTCACTTGTTATTTATCATTGATTACCATCAACAACAAAATGTTGTTTTTTTATTTAATGACAATGAATACAAAGTTAAAAAAAAACCTAGTATAAAAACTACTAAAGATATAATGCTCTATAAAAAATTAAATAATAAATTTAATATTTTTTTTAACATGTCACTTGTTATTTATCATTAACATCAACAACAAAATGTGTTTTTTCCCTTTTAATGATAAATAATACAAAGTTAAAAGAAGACCTACAGTAATATAAAATCTACCAAAGATATTTTTAAAATCTCATATTTCTATGCTGTAAATACCAACAAATATATACGCCTGTATTCTTAAAACCAGGGAACAGTTAACTGTTCCCTGTTAAAACAAACTTTAGTTGAACTTCCAACTAGAACTTCATTTAGTCCTAATTTCAACTTAAATTTGTATTATAGTTGAACCTGAGCGAGGGCGGCACAATCTTTGTTGTTGTTACAGCGAAGCTATGTGACCGCAACACGAGGGGATTTAGTGCATATCAGTAACTATCGCATGTGCCTAGCAAAACAGGTTAATTTCACGTTTTGAAAGTTAAACTTACAGTAGTATTTTTTCTTGAAAGTTAAACTTACAGTAGTTTTTTTCTTGAATACACCGAAGATACATCAGACCTACAAGTTATACAATCATTTTTATCATTTTTGTTTTTGAGACAGATGAGAAAATAAGGAAAATTTTGATAACCAAAATTGTCCTATATCATCGTAATTTTTCGTATTTTTTCATAATTTTTTTTGACATCATCTGGATTTTTTAAATATACAAGACGCAATTTTCGCACGAGCTTGGACGGCTAGGCAGAAAATTATGAATTATGGATTTTACTTCGCGAGTAAGGTTAGGTTATTCACAGTACGTAGTGGGGAATGGGTGACTGAACGCGATGTAAAATTTAATATTATTTTAATCTTCCAAAGTTCTTCGTCAATAAATTCAAATTTAGTTTATTTTGTAAAGGAATAATTTGTGCTAATGTGGAGATGTTTTTATTCTGGCTACTGACTCAGGATTCAATAATTAATTTTTAAAACTATTCATCAACAAATATTATAAATATGAAATCAATAATTGGAAATAATTTATTTTATTAATTTTTTTCATAATTTCACAAAACTAAATAATAGGTTATTTAGAAGCATTTTTTTATTATCTTTCAATCGGTATCAATCATTGTATTATTCCTTCAGAAAGAAATTAAATTTAACCATATTTCTGACACTGAAAAAAAATTCAAAATCATTTAAAAAAAATCTAGGGTCAATGGGTCCATTTCACCAGGATAACCGCATAATAAATCAAATGGTCACAAATGTCAACATACATAATCAGTGTTCTCCCCAGGCCCTTGAAGCGTCACGGTACCGTGATGCTTGGGACTTCGTCACAGTGCACCGTGACACTCCCAAGCTGGTAGTGACGCTTGATTCGTCTTCCGTGACACTTTAAAATATCGTCAATAAAATAATTCAAAATAAACAATGCTGTCCATGTATCCTAGTTTGAAGAAAAGTGAGTGTGAAAATATTTGTAAACACAAAACAATGCTTTCTTACGATGTTGGTTTATCAGCCCAAGTTCATGCTTGATCTTTTTGTGTTCATTTTTGCGTTATCTTTACCTTGAGAAATGTCACTTTCAATTAAAAACACAATCGTTAGCTTGATTCACACAAACTGTTTGCTTCAAAACTGCCCATGCATGTCCATGCGCATGCCCAGAACGATCTATCTGGATTTTCCTCTCACCACATGTACTTCTCTTGACAGCGAAGTCACAACGCGATCGTGTTTGTTTTAATACAGTATACAATTTCTATTGATTACACAATCCATACCTTCATTAACAGTTTTAAATTAAATATTAACTTTCAATATGACACTGAAATGCAATAAAATACAAATCCCATCTGTAGTATCAAGATTTTGGTCACATTACTGAAAAACATTAAGATTAATTATTGTTGAATATAATATTCCACCATGTCTACCACCAAGGCCTAGTGTTTATTCACCACCACCACCACACAAATTCAGTATGATAGGCCTAGGCTACAATAGGCCTAGAACAGGAAGGAGGCCTAGGCTTACAGTAGGGAGGTCACAGTGACATTAGCTTGGCTTGCTCTTCTACCTACTGTACCTAGGTAGGAATTCGAGTAAACTCGGCCCCAGTCAACTCGGCCTTAAGTCAACTCGGCCCCAAGTCAACTCGTCAACTCGACCCCGTGTCAACTTGCTCCAAAGTCAACTCGGCTCCATGTCAACTCGGCCCCAAGTCAACTCGACCCCGTGTCAACTTGGTCCAAAGTCAACTCGGCTCCATGTCAACTCGGCCCCAAGTCAACTCGACCCCGTGTCAACTCAAGTAGTATATATATTTAAATGTACGGTATATACATATATATATAGATATGTATGTACAGTATGTATGTATATAAATCATTATATAATAGGTAAAATCTAAACCATGTTATATATAAATATAATAGGAATGAATACTATACAATATGGACTTTAGATAAACTTAATTGGAGAAGAATTTCAGTACCGGTATATTTAAATATTCCTAGTACCGTATATACACATAATAATACCGTATTTGATATGCCTATAAATCAGTATACATGTTCATATCGTTATTATCAATAGTTTTTGTTATGCTTTTTTTATTATTATTAATATTATTGCCATTAATGCTGTTTGTATTATTGTTAATGAAAAAAGAATAACAGCCCCAGGTTGACTACTTGGGGCCGAGTTTAATTTGGGCCGAATTGACTTGGGGCCGAGTTGACATGGTTCCGAGTTGACTTGGGGCCGAGTTGACTTGGGGCCGAGTTACCGTAAGTTGGGGGCCGAGTTGACTTGGGGGGGCCGAGTTGACCTGCTCAACTAGGTAGGCCTAGCGCCTAGTTTAACGCGACAAAGAAATATAATCAATGTCTGAAAATATACAATTAAGAGTTAAACAACGAATTGCATTAAGTTATTAATAGCTATATTAATTCTGCATATTTTTATTTTTTTTAATCAAAATATAATTTTAAACCACATTCTTATGATTGTAGACTTACCATTGCCTCCAAATCGATCCATTTTGTTGAGTACGGTAATGATATGATGTTGCTTTCTCCTTCAAAACACACGTCAGCAGCGAAATGTTCAGACATTCTTATATCTAAACATTAGCTATATATAAAAATTGGTGATATCAAACCATTTGTTAACCTCGGTGCACACCAACAGATGACGAAAAAATGACTTAAAAAATACAGCTTATTTCCATAGTTTACATAATTTCATCATGGCCGATAATATTTACACTGAGGGGGCTCTATCACTTTGTTTATGTAAACGTCACAAGGAGAAACAAATAGATCTCGAATTGAATAGTATTTTTCTCAGTTAGTTTACTGTTTTCAGGTTTTTTTTAACCTGTTAATAAAATACCATAACCTTTTGAAATATTTAGCACGTTCCTATGAACTAATCTGTATTTATTTCTTCAGAGGGTTTCGTAGCATTAGCGGACTTATATATGTATCTGGGACTTTCCCAAAATAAGCATGATGTAATGTTTGTTGTCTATTGAAGTTTCGCGAATCGCGATGGCGCCCGTCACGTCTAAATTACCACCACAAGGCGATGACACACAATCTACATCACGTTTGTAACAAAACGATCTAACTGTTTAGCTTGGACATGTTTATCTTTACAGTTACAAAGGTGGCTGACGTATGCAGGTATAACTACAAAATGCTTCAATGGTTGGCTGCTAATTATTATAATAATGTACAAAACTGGTAGTAGGCATATAGATCATATTACACAGGGGCGGATCCAGAGATGTCCGAAAACTGAGGCGGGTGGGGAAGGGGAAAAAGTGGGACCGATAGAAACAACGCCACCCTAGGGTGTCCGGGGAATTCCCCCATTTTTTTAAAACACTTTCCAAAAAGGGAGACCGCGGCCAGCCCGGCCTCCTCTAAATCCTCCCTTGGTATTTTAGCAATTAGTAATGTAGGCGTAGGCCCACTGGTGAATTATATTATTTTAACTAAACATCCACTGATCATGTACTGTACCGTAATATAGGCCTACTTATTGTAGTATTTTAATTTGATGACGTACCGGTACCTCATCAATTTGAAATCATTTGGAACATCATTAACTCTTTATTATTAGAAATTAATATGAACAACTGTTAACTTACCGATACGTCATTGTAAATATTTATATTACGGCATAAAAAGCACACAAAGCGACAGCATATAGCTAAAATGCTCAGAACAATGCACTAAAATATCAACTTGAATTGCAAAAGCACAATATTATCCATGACTAATAAATTACGACAAACAATAAAAATTAGGCCTATATGCAAATTTTTTAATTTTTTTTTAATTAAAAGCAAATTCAAAACAAGAAATCAAGATAGAACGATTAGATATGTGTACAAATTATGTTTTAAACATTTTATTTACCAATACAACATAAATGTCAACCGTGCCTCCGCTTCTCTGAATACATTTTCAGAAGCGGATCCAGGGCCATAGGGGCTAGAGCCCCACCCCCCACCCGCCAGCCGAGAGACAGGATAAAAGAAACTTCGGAAGAGAGGGAGGGGGAGAAAAAAATAGTATGGGAAGTGCTGCATAATATACATTTATAGAAAAGTTGTGATTTTTATTTTTGTTAATCATAACATTTGTATGTTACGAAACTTCTAAGTATTGTGTATGTATTGTATGTAGCCTAAATTTACTTCCTTTATATCGTATACAATTTTATTGTAATTACAATATTAACAAAACAACAAAAAACGCGACAAATATTTATAATATATCAATCATCATAAAGCCCTTTTAAAAGAGTAACTGAGATAGGCATATATTTTCCTTACTTAAGGCCAGGCAACACTGATAAATGAGGGCTATGAACAGATTTGAACGAGAGGCCACAAATATCTTAGCCTATGGCTCTTTATATTTCAGTCGATTGGTTGACTAGGCCTAATAATAATTTGAATTATGCTGGGATTTTTTTAGTCTGGGTTTTGCCTAAACGATTATCCATTTTCATTAAAAAGTTTAACATTTTAACGCCGCCTTTTATCTTTATGCTTGTTCTATTTTAAACTGGAATTCCTCTCATTAAAGTCTAACAAAGTGGAGCGTCAATTCTGCGTGATAGGCCTACCTTACGGATAATGATGAAAACACTAACAAAATGCGCTAATGACCAAAATTATTGCAATTGAGGCCGTTAAATTAGCTAATTGTCTTTGCTGGTGACAGACACAATAAATAAAATTTACGATACATAATATCTGTTTTGTTATTTTACTTTACTTACAAGACATTGCCGGCAGAATTTCTTTTTACCTGCTTATTATTTACGGGCTTACCTGAGCCAACAGGGTGTTTTCCTGCTTAAGCCTGCCCTTACCCGATTACTGTGCACGTGTTTTTACATTGAATGTTCCTTATTATTAAACATTAATTATTATATAAATTATCCGTTGTAGAACACAGCAAAAACATAAGTGTATTATACATCGTACAATGTAATAAGAAGAACATCCGTGATTCAGATTTGCCGTCGAGATGTTCAGTGAAAACTGGAATGGTGATGATAGTCCTAATACGACCCCCTCCCCACCCACCCTTATAGATTGAACGTAAAAGATATAAGAGGAGATGAAGAGCAACTTAAATCATAAAATGTGTAACCTTTATACGAATGCCTTCTGCTCAGTAAAAGTCTTTACTTTCGCCTTACTTTTGGACCAACCCAAATATGTAATCTTTACATCTTATTTAAAAACAATAAATCTAGATAGATCATCAGATTTAATTTAGGCCCTATGCCGTTTTATGTACCGTATCTGAAAAATCTCCCCCCTCTGTAATATTTATTGAGTAAATATTTAATTGCGCTGAAGGGCCTTCATATAATTTGAAGTCTTGTGTTTCAGAATAATTTAAATAGATTAATAATATTATTACCTGTAATTAAAATAATAAACATAATATTGTGATATCATCATAGCAGCGTTATTGATAGCCAATATCCACTGCGGTCGGTTCGTTAAACTGAAATTGCATTCTGGTCACGGTTTAGTGAACAGGTAAAATACATAAGAATCATGTCAATTGTATTAGACATTAATGTTGCCAGGTCCTATTATTTACATTGTGCCTCGTCATGTTTACGAAATGATTGGTGACAAAATACACAAGGTTCGTATATAATGACAAAATTGGTCCGTTTGTGAGGGAATGAGCCTTCTTTAATTTGGTGCCAATGGGCTTATGGAAAGTAATACTCATCAATTAAATTCAATGCTCGTATGGTCCTAATGGAGTCCAGTCTTCTTCGTTACTGTGCCGCCCTGGTAAGTTGCGGAACGACTAACCAGGGGGACCGGTGGAACCGCGGTTAGGGTATACCTGTACATAGGTTAGTATTTTCGCCCACGAATTGGGTGAAGGGGCTTGTGCCGGGAAAATTTCCTCTCCCAAAAGAATGAAACGAATAAAGAAAACTGCATTAGGCAATGCTAAGCTTATGTTTTTTGTTTTTGTTTTTGTTTTTGTTTTTGTTTTGTTTTTTTGTTTTGTTTTTTACGAGAAAGGGCCTGTGCGACTATTATGCTAGTTTAACGTAACTACCATTAACTTCAATGTTTATAAATTGTCATTTTAGTTTTTGTGCACATCACATCTGCGCAATGTCATTGCTTACATTGCTAATAACATGCATCGTAACATTCACATAGACAAAATATAAATAAAATTTTTTATTTTCTGTAATGAAGATTAAAAAGGAGTATCTTACTAACCACAATCTATCGTTAAGCCAGTAGTTGGGCACGGAGTGTTGTGGTTTGGTTTGTTGTTACAAGGTTAATTTGGATAGATCCTGGTTTAGTTTTTCCTTTTTTTTCTTCTCGGTATTCTCTCAGCGCATAGACCTCGGTTCGGTTAGTAATTATGCGCTTTATGAATCCCACTACAATAGTAGGTCTACATAAGGTGAAATTCAACAATTTACCCCCTGAGCCTATGTTTGTAAAGATTTGCATACCTCGCATCCCCAATTGGTAATCCTGGATATGGCCCTGAACACCGAAGGAAAAAGACAAGATACAAAAAAGGAGACAAAAGATGAGTAGGCCTATATTTTTTAAAACAGATAAGTCCTCGTCTATAATAATAAGGTTTATGAGATTCTTTTAACATTAAAAACCTCAACTAGTTTCTGTTCCTGTCCTTTGAAGCTTTCCAAAATCTATACCGGTATCATAGCAATACTTTGCTGGGTAGCAGTGGCGGCTCTAGGATATAATTTATGTGGGGTGGGGGCTAAGTATTTATGGGTGTAAATATAGTGCACACCGTTATCTGAGGGCCGAAGGCCCGAGCCGGAGGTGGGTATGGGAACAAGATTTTTGTTGGTTTAAATTGGGACTTCTAGATGGCTGGAAATGACTGGGATGGGAAAACTAGGCCTTTTTTTTTTTTGTTTTGGTCTGACTGCCCGACGAGCTTTGGTCGATGGGGGTGGGGGGACTTGACCAAACCGATGGGGGCTTAAGCCCCCATGCCCCTCCCGCTGGCGCCGCCACTGCTGGGTAGTAGTAAACAGGGAGGCCCGGTTGCCTCTCTGGACCCATAGGTATTTGACGTTGGCACCAGAAAGCACATACAGGCGTTATACGCCATTTGTCAAAGTTCCGTCACTGACCCTGGTGACATTGGGAAATATAGGCACCATAATAAAACACCCCACCCCAATTTATAACCACTAAATTTTTAAAATTGCAATGCAATGTTATGTGCTACCGGTACTCATTTTTTCTGACTGTTGTTCCCCCCGTTTTAAAACTTCTTGTTCCCCCCACCCTTGAAATAGGCTACCTCATGGAGGCCAAGATTTAGTTTTAAGATTGGGAATAAAAGAGAAAAACTGACCTGAAGAAGCGAACGACATTACAAATGACAAAGTAAAAACATAAATATATATACCGGTATTCTATAAGAAATCGATAAAAGTGGTAATGAAGCCGTGTTAGTCTAAACAATATACAAAGAAAATTATAAGGCAGCACTCTGAGACTAACTTAGATGTTATTTATTTAACACAAGCTTTCGCTGGCAGTCAATGCCAGCTTCATCAGGTGTGTCACCTGATAAGAAATCGAGAAATTAATATACATATCGAAGAATCATAATAGACAGAAGAGGTAAGATGAATTGAAGATGCTCATATATTTTATTTATTGTAACATCATTAAAAGCGGATCGGAATAGGCACACGTGTATTTCAAATTGCATTGGCAACAAGTTTTAATTACATATTAAGTTAAATTCCTTTACTTGAGCCGAACTGAGATATGGCCGGATACAATGGATTAGGCCTAATTATTATTTATAGCAGATCGATTTTTTTCCTGCCATGTATTCTTTTTCTATTTTTTCTGCCTTTATTTAATGTTAAAAACACTTTTTAATATTGTGATGTTCTTTTATTTTGCTTTGAAATCTATGTTTGTATGTCAAAAAAAAAAAAAAAAGAAAAGAAAGAAAGATCGATTTATAAGGAAAATGTACCCTTATGATGAACACTATAGTCGGTGGGTCGATCCGCTTCTTTGTAGAATCCGAAACCATCACTCCCAATAAGCCTAAAATGTCAGTGTGTTTGAGAGTGGTTTCGTGCAGATGATGGGCACTTAGCAACTGGCATGGCATATGATAGGCACCACCCCTCCCCCAACAACCAACCCTCTACGGCGGAAAATTAGTTAACACTAATTGGGCTAGGCCTATATAAAAAATCCACTGTTCATTGGAATAGGGATTTGGCTCCACATTCTAAAATTTCGCAACCCCCTCCACACACTGCCAATTCATATTTTGGAGGCCCGGTGAATTCCTCTACCTCGTGGAATCTGCTACACAATTGCACAATTCAGATTTTTCATAAAATTAAAATTCTACAAAACCAGTCAGGACTTCGGCAAGAGACGACAGATACATTACAGTGAGATATAGGCCTGGATAAATTGACAGATTATTATGATTTGACAATACAGGCCTAGATATTATAGATTAAAAAGAATTACATAGTATAATACAATAAGTATATTATGCAGATCGATATAAAAGATAGCCTCAGTATGACAACAGAGTTCTAATGTCCTCACTAATTTTCCAAAATGATGACCATGAATGAAGTCAGGCGTACACAAAAAACACGAACTATCTCATAAATACTTCAATTTGTTCCATACTTAAAATTGTCAAACATTACACATAAAAAAAACGTGTTGAATCCCGACTGATTAAAGATATGCCGACATTTATTACGATGTCCCCAAATTGTTATCGTGTCTTATCAAAACAGAGGGGTTAGGTTGGAACAGCCAATTTACTTAGGCTTGCTTTGATTGCACTGTGCGCGAGTCTCCGGTGGTCGTCGTGTTCACCCAAGCTGTGTGACGTTTGCATGGCAAGAAATTATTGTTAATTTAGCTTCCTGTAGATTTTCTTGGTAGTTATATTACTTATTCCAAAAGGTATGTTTATCTATAGGTGTTGAAGAGTTGAATTGCAAAGAACTGTGGTCATTTGTCTCGTAGTTGTGGTGGAATTATTCTTCTTTCCGAAACTGATTCGTTCATGTGTTGTTCATTTTCTGCTTCTGCTGCTCCGACGATTGTGGTCAGTCAGTCAGAGTAATCTTTCCCATTAACTGTATTCATTCGCATGTTATGATTTTCGTGAACATTATATCATTGGATTGAGCAATACTGATAGCTCATTATATTGAGCCAAATTATTATAGTATATAAAAATAGCAAGCCAATGTTTACTTCTGCTGTTACACAATGCATTTTTTTCGCAAACCAATTTTGGTTGAACTTGTCGTATTTCAGGGCCCAACACGATTCATTACATGATATACATCAGGGTAAATTATTTCTCCGTTTCTTTTAACAGTTTGTAAACATGCCAAACGAACGGAATGCTAATAACAGAACCCCTAATGGTGCTCAGGCAACAAGTAGTGGGGGAAGTGGTAGCGGTAGTAGTAGCAACAGCAGAAGAATTGGCCCAACAAATTCTTCAGAGCGGGAGCAAACTGTTTCTCTGCCATCAGCTCCTTCAAAAACAACACCATCCTCGGGAAAATGGAGTCAGAAAATGCTAAGTAACAGCGCAAGAAGGTATTTTATAAATTATTATATCTAACAATATTAAACGTTATTGTAGTCTTTATGAAAACAATACCCGTTGATTTCCATTGATGGGCTGTCTGGCTATCGATCAGTTATCGGAGTATAATGCACTTAAATAGAATGTGCATAGCTCACTGTTAAGTCCATTCATATACGCTCTCGCAGACTGACATAGAAGCTCATTTGCATATAAGCTAAAACATCGTATCTCTCAAAAACAATCGTATCCAAGAAAATCCCTATCAATAGATATCCATCTATGTCGTATATCCTATGTTTTGATACTAAATTTGTGTGATTTGGTTGGTAAATGGCGGAGAAATCGGAGTTTTAATTTTCGCTTTGCACTGGCAGCCATGTTTCCTATTTCGTGTTGGCTTTGTTCAGTAGGGAGTGGGAAACGGTCGTGTGTGTATGTCTAGAGTTGAGTGGTTAGTAATTACCTTCCTACAAATTGACTCCCCTGTTAAAAAAATGAATTGCATTGAATATAAACACATGCTCTAAAAAGCTAGTAATTACTACATAATAATTATCACCGAGCTTTTTATTTATTTGTTCTTAAAATGCCTCTGTGTAATTTGTGGGGCACTTGGACTCATTAAAAAAAATCAAAAAAATCTGTATAAGTGATTTATTGTTTTCATATGTATGAATGTAACATATAGTTCGGGATAGCATCAGTATATTTGTCAATTAATTTGCACAATAACTTTAATGTGTAAATAACTGGAACTTGATCTCTGATCTGGTGTAAGGTCTCGTTGAACAAATATTCCATTCTCATTAGATTTAATAAATAATGAAGCTTGTACAGAATAAAGGCTAGGACTGGGCCCAACAGTGAACCCATAGAGACCCACAGAATAAAGTGGATTAAATGAGTGCTAATGCTGGATTTATGAATATGATATCTTAATAAATACTATAATTAGGATATGAAGAAATTTTAAATTAATAAATAGGATGATGGATTTTTATCTCAAAATTATGTACTAAAACTATTCTGTACCCATTCCATATGGTTGCTTCAAGAAATAGTATGAGATCATCAAAATTTTCATCCTTTTCAGAGAGCATAGAAGAAAGGTATGAACCATTCTGCAAGAGATTACATGTAATAAAATGATAATATGGGATCAGCATTTGTTATTTTGATAAAGTACACGCACACTGTTAACACCTTCCTCCCAGCTTATATCTTGTACAGTTGTGAAAATTATGAAAAAATTGATCCATTGGTCCCCTTCCCCCTATTATAGAAGGGAATTATTTTTAGTAATGAATACTGAAGGAAGTGTTAGAATTTTAATACCTACTACATTTGGTTGCTATGTTTGTGTAATGATTCTTGTAGAATAAGTAATGGTACTTTTTTTTTGTTGCCTATTTTGTTTCTGTTATAAACTTTGTATAAGCTGTTAATTACATGCTCTCCAGTTCCTTTCCCTAACTTATTCTTGTAGAAATCCTGTAGTTACTGTATTTATGCAGTAGCTATAAAATTACATAATTTTATGTAGGCATATATATGGTAAATGGTATACTATGTTTTTTTAAATAAGTCTTTCCAACACACCAGTTAATAATATTCCTAAAGCACCTGCTGTATTTTCATTAGTGATGACACGTTTTTGTTGAGCTCAAGAAAAACAAATTAGATTCACGAACTGTAAATCCTTGAATAGCCACTGCACTTATAAAATATTTGGAGGTTTCGGTGCGGCGCTTATTTGATCCGCTTATTTTAATAATATTGGTGTGGTGCTTTCCATGCCCATTCTCATGTTCTATCTCACAGGTGTTTTCATTGTGTTATACAGTATATTTATTTAACACTGTATACAGTACATTGTATTTCAAAACCCTGTTTCTCAAAGTGTTTCATTACACACAGGGTAGACAAGGGTAATGTGTACTCTCAATTAAGCTCCGCGGTGCTTATTCGAAACAGAATAACCTTGAAATAAGCCCCACGGCGCTTGGCACCTGGGCTTAGTGAAAAAAAATCATATTGGAGCGGCATTTATGCAAGAACAGCGCTTATTCGAGGATTAGCGGTATTTGAATCATTTCTTTTTATAGAAGTAGTAGGGTAGAATATTTTAATTCTTAATTTGAATAATAATATTTTTCTCACTAAACAGATGCATAATACGGTACATAAAATTCTACTTTTCATGTATATTTTTGTGCAAATTGGCTTGTTTTCACATTAGGAACTATAATAGTAAAAAATTATAAATGTGCAAAAACTAAGTGATTATATAAAGTTGATTGAAAATGTTGTACAGTAATTTTGTTTAATTTAATAATAATTTGGCCTTGTTGATTAAATCCATCAAACTGCTTTGTTAATTAAATTTTGTTTTACTTTCATTTATAATTGAACTTACAGTACCTTACATCCATGTATTGAACATATATAATATTATAATAGATAGAATATTACATGTTTTTTAGAGTTCATAGAGTTTTATCTCATCTAATTTTTTTTATGATGTGTTCTTAACTGAACTGTGCATGTGCTTATTTTCTTCATGGCTGATTAGGGGGGTGACTTAGAGTTCAGCATACAGGAAGTGAGACAGTTTGAGTGAAAGGTGTTGATTTTGGGTATCATTTTATACCACATGGGTACTAAAGGGCTAAGTATGTGCAGTACCATAACACTTTACCACACTTAAAGCTCACACTAAATATCTTAGCATTAACTATTTAGTGAAAGAATGGAGGATTCAGACTAACTTAGCACCACCATGTTAAGAGCTGGGGTTGAAAATTGTATGGCTATGGACAGAAATGGCATTATCAGACTTAAATTTGAGATAGCCATCCAAGTCTTTAGTTTGGGTGGTAGAGCAGTGGCATATCTAGGGGATGTGCAGGCCCTTCCCCCAAAACAAAAGCTTGTGCCCCCCTCCCCCCCACTGAAAATGTCCGAAGCAAAGAAGTGGTTAAAATCACCTCATATTATCACTTTATTTTGTGACCTAGTTCCCCTTCACTTAATCATCGAGGCCCAACTCCACCCTGTCTCTTATACACCCCCCCCCCAAATTTAAAGATTTGTAGATATGCCACTGTTGTAGAGCAGTGTCATGTTTGCTTGTGTGAGTTTTCCTGGATATTTTCCGTCAGGGTTCAATCTAAGACCAAAAGATTAGGAGGTTAGCATCTTAACCATTAAACCACATAAATATGGACCTTCACACTTAGCTCATACTTGTGGTAGAAGGAAATCACCTTGGAAGTCTGCCTGCATAGAGTGGTATCATTGATGTCAAATACAGCTTTGCAAATGTTCACCATTTTAGGGATCAGAGATAGGTGCATTCGAGCCCTACATTCCATTCTGTAGATAAATCGCTCAGTAATACTCAGCGTGTGGCCAAACATTTAAGCAAATTTACAGTGTTTAAAACAAAACTACCAAAATAGCACTGAGTGTGGTTTAATCAGTGGAAACTATATGAAGTCATTTTTGTTAATTGGTCCGAACAGATACTAGTTTTAGGGTACTGCCCAATGCAGGTAAATAATTTATGGTGAATATTCGAGATATGAATCATGTTGTTGACCAACTACACTGTAACCTGCCTAGGCAGTAGGAACAACTAGTAAGAGCTTACAAAACCATGTATACTCGCTCACTCAGCATTGTACAGTGTACCCTCCTCCAATTCGAGACCCCTCTAGTTCCGAGAAGACCTCCCTAGTTCGAGACCACTTTTCCAAAGACCCAAATAATAATCTTTATCCTTTTAACACAAAGCTATCCCACTAATTGGAGACCAACCCCGAGACCACCCCAATTTTTCAGGTCTCAAGGGTGGTCTCAAATTTGAGGGCGAACTGGATTCATATATTTTGTACAGCAACCTAAGTTGTTTTAATAACAAATAATTGTTCCATTCATACACAAGACTTACAGTACTTGACTCATGTCATGAAAATATAATAACAAACAACCATCCTACAGTATATTGCAACTGTACTGTACTAGACATGTGACTGGCTTGTCCAACATGCATGCACGAGAAATTTAATTAGGTTTGACTTTGATGGCTATCGCTATCAGAACTGGGCTCTATCTTGCTTCATGTGTAGTGGTGAGGTAAAGGCCTAGAATTACAAATATTTCCAACTCAGTATAAAAAAAGTAAACAAAATGTTCATTAATTAAATGGTTGAATTTCCATTTAACAAAGTTAATTATATGTAATAAAATCCTATAAACATAATTTCATAGTGTTTGTAAGAAATAAGAAACTGAGGGTTCTAACAAAAATATGCTGCATTGAGTTATATATTAATTTGAGTAAGGACAAAATATTTGTGACAATTTACCATTATTGGCATATTTTGAGTACCTATTTATGCCCATTCAAATATCGTAAAAAAAATAATTTTACAATAACACAAGTTTACAAAATATTGAACGAGGACTTACTGTATCGCGCTACAAAAGCAACACATGTGAGAATTCATTATTCAAATTATGTTAGTACAGTACTGGGAAAGGAGCAGCAGTGAATAGGTAAGTGGAACGTACCTCTTCAGTGATTGCGGCTGATACAAATGCGTATATGTTCAATAATAATGCAATAAATATATTATAAACTGACTATAAATAAGTCAATATGTGATGAATAAGGAATGCCTACATCCATCACATTTTAGCATGTATTTTATAATCCATTTTTTACCATATTCTTTACCAGTATGCCTAACTTAGCTACTTTAATGTTATAAACAAAATTATTATTGTTCTTTATTTAATAGATAATTTGACTTTCATTTGCAAAGGTCTTTCTAAAATTATAGTTAAAAACATAGCAATATTCAATATTATACTTTAGAATATTCTGTTACATGGCAATATAGTAACATCTCCCATTTGCATACTGTACCCGTCCGTCATAGAGTTAATAAATGAGAAAATTTGTAATTCAGCGAGTTTTTCATAGCATCTCAGTGTGGTAAGG